ATTAATTTAAATATTAAGTATAATTTATAGGATATATACTTTCTTTATAATGCCATTACATATTTCTATTAATATAAAAAGTTTCAGAGCTTTTTATTCACTTTACTTTTTTGGGATTTTATGAACTGAAAAATGACAGTTTTCGTGAGAAAGACCCATATATATTATTTAATTACCTGTGTTGAGCATCTGACCCAATTCTGAGTTTACGACTATCAATATTCACTCCGTAGCCTTGCAATATTGAATTCATCCCAGAACACAAGCATTGCCTTCGGGACAAATTAGCCTTCGTGGCGAAATTTCTGATGGAACTAATCCTCATTTGCTTTACAAAGAGTAGAAAACCATGAATATCTCTTACAGTTAACCGAACGACAAGGAATTTCTAAGCCATGGTTGTGTCTACTACTGAGGATATTTTATGTCAGCATTGTGGTCGGTGCGAGCCGAGAGCAGAATTCGTATCTTCCAGCCACCACTGAGATTTGAACCTGAAGCACCCTTTTGAAAGGCGAACGCTCTATCCACTGAGGTAGCGCGACTAGAGAAATAATGACATTGCTTTAAAACATGTCATATTTAGTAATTGTCCTTTTACATTAAAAAATATGTCACGTATTATATTCGCCATTATTTGACTAACTTATAAAGACAAGAGTACAGAAAGTTTTAATGGTAAGAAAAAAACATAAAAATCAGAGGCTTGAAGTCAAATTCGTTGCAACAGTTTTGGAGCTGTAAATGAATACTTAAAACTGTTTTTTCAGTTTAAGCATTCATTTGTAGCTTTTTTGTTAGCTGCAAGTTTAAAGTTCATTGCTATTTTGAGAACAATTCTTTTCAAAATGAATCGAATTCCATCGAAATTTAGTCATTTTAACACTTCTGACTTCCGACCTACCCAAAAAATAACATGTTATAAATTTGTTTAAAATTCTTGTCTTTATTTATTAACATTGAAATGGTATCGAAGAAATGAAGCTGTCTGCACTTGAAATCATAAATTTGTAAACATAGTTTCAATCTTTTTTTAAAGTTTTCTTTTTTTTCCAATTTTTTATTGTTTTATAACAAGAACTTTCAACTAACAACTTCAGAATTGAAAATAATGATAATCATTACTTACATGTCATGTAACTTCTTTTTTCTGTATGTCCCCTTGATACAATCCAAGATAAAATCAACCAGGAACACAAGGCAATGTGATAATAAACCATCATACTTCAAAACAACACCATACCCCTCAGTGAAATCTCATCCAAGATAAGAATGAATTCATTTACATCTTAATGGTTGACATCATTAGTTAATTCTGGAATTAATCCTCGTGTAGATAAAAACAACTCTCACATCCACAAACGATTCTTCCTTTCAAGATGTAATATTGGTGTCTTTCCTAAGTTCACGAAAAGAAAGCGATGGGCCTCTTGAACTTTAGATCTTTCAGCATTGATAGAGACACTATTTAGATTAAAAAAGAAAATGGTTATTAAGAACGGCGATCGCCAAAAAAATCGCCGGCAACTATTTCTCTAACGATATGGGGACAAGTTTATGCGTGGGCTGATGAAATGGAATTTTTTTTTTCCTTCCAACTGACCGGAAGTTATTATTGGCTGTTTTTGACCGAGAGAGGGAAGTAATTATTTAAAAAATAAAAACACGTCATCGATAGTATCTTCTGCTGTAAGTTACTAAGAGCATCGCTTCCCAATTTTTTCAGGCTATAGAACTCTGAATGATCGAACTTCTTTTGGTAGACTCGCGACATTATAAATAAAAGTTAATTAGCAACTGTGAATAAGCTAACCAAATAAATTAGGCTTCTAATTATTTTGAAAATATTGAACATGAAGAATGTGAAAAAAATTAATATCAAGTATTAAGATATTATGAATTTGTACTTGATATATGCATATGCTGAAAACAGGTCCTGATTACCGCAAAGGCTCGAGAAGATAGAGCTTAAAACTCCAATTTTTTTTTTAAAGAAAAAATTAAGGGGGGTCCCAAGATGACTAAAAAATTGTTTTATTTCGAATCACATTTTTTTAAAATCTTTTAAAGGTTTGCAGAAGCGGGAGAATATATGCACTAATTAAGAAACACTGGAGCAGACTTCTACAATAAAAATTAGTTACTGTAGAATCAGAGTAAATTGAAGATATGATAGTTGTTATACAGTATAGAAATTGAACTTACTTTTTAGAAATTTGTAATTCCACTCTTTAAAATACAAGTATTTAACTTATTTACTTACTGAAACTATGCCAGAAACTAGACGAAAATGAATTGCTTTTGCCATATATTTTTCCGCTTTACTTTCACCCATACTCATATTACTAAACTACGCAACGATATGGTACCACCAATTCAGATTAAACCCCATACATTGAACCACATGCAACCATATGTAATATTAAATTTATCATAATAGGGATGGGGTGAGAGTATTAATGCTTTTGAGCCACTTTTGGAAATAATATTTGTAGCATTAGTAAGATTCATTTTAATTTTGCATAGAATTTAAGAAAACTTTTCCCAAACAATAAAAAGGGGAACCCGAAACGAGTCTAAGTTTCCCCTAACTTCAGAGGTTACTCGGGCCCTGGTTGAAAATTAATTAATATAAGCTTAATTATGGTTTTCAAAAAAGAACTGTAATAAACGTTGATAATAATTATCAGAGAAATGTCATTCTTTATTCTTGAATTTAGTTACTTTATTTTGAATTAGTATGCTGGATGAAAAATGAATTTGGAATTTTTTATAAATCCATACTATTTCAAAGTTTATTCAATACATTAAAAAAAATGCCTTTTTTTTAAATTTTATTTACATACATAAGGATTTTTTGCTTTTACATATGTACCTTTTTACATGTATAATTTTATGCAACAAACCGAAATATTAAATTATGGATTGTTGATTGGATGTAAATATAGTCATTACTGACTAAAAAAATATCTCTTGGATTCTTAAAAATTTATTGTATTCTGAGCTGCAATTTTTTTTAATAATTCTCCTTCACTTGTTCATTGTAGATCACATAATAAGCTATATATTTAACAAAGTAAAATCTAACTTTTGCATTCAATTTCCAAAAAACTTTAAATGCAAATGTGTAAAATAGTGTTTTAAAATGGATACATGTAAAAGATGTTTTATCTAAAAAAAATTAAGTTTCAAAATGAAAATTTGTTTAATTTTTTTTTTTCATTATTGTTCTTAAAAAAAAAAACACTTAATTTTGATTATCATTTTCCGAGAACACAAATAATATCGAGAAAAAAAACATAAAATTGTACAAAAATACTTTTCATTTAATTAAAATCGCTTATGAGTTAATCACAAGATGTTAGACAATGTGTTAATATAAAACTTAATTGTCACCATCTTGGTTTAGTTCAGTTTTGATTAAATTTATTTACTGTAAATCTAAATTTTTTTAATTCTAATAAATAATTATTTAATCTTCTTACTCTAAATTCATACAAAACTTTTACAACAAAATAATTATAACTGAAACAATTCAGGCATACAACTGACAAAGATTTCAGATTTTTTTATGTTTTTAATGATATATACATATGTATATTAAAGAAATATATATTTTAAAATAAGTAAAAGTAATAAACTTATTTACTTTGAACCACTTCATATTTAGGTAAATTTTAAGATTGGTTATGTTTGGGCCCCGTGCATAACATGTAGTATGCCCCAAATTAAATTCTCTTACAATTCCACATTCCCCTTTCCCTAACTGGGTGAGAAACTTGCATTTTAGAAAACATTAAAGTTTATATCCATTCAAGATTCGTACAACCATTTGTGATGGATACATAAACGATGCTTATTGCTTGATTAATTTTATTTGAAATAACTTACTTTAGTGACAAAAAAGCTTAAAATGTGCAAAGTGAAAACATATAAGAAAAGTTTACTTTCCCCTTGCAACCTTATAAGGTAAATATATTTAGATGTATTTTTCTTCTTTTATAGTAATAATAAAATGAAAACAAGAATAAATAAAAAATTAATTTAATTATAAAACAACTAAAGCAAATTTATTACACTATTTACATAACATTATCACATATCGGGAGCTTTATTAGGTTTTCTTCGTAATATTCTTTTCTTCATTGCTTGTACCTTTTTGTGATGAACAGCTTCATTTTTCTTTTTCTCTTTATTGTGGGCTCTAGCCCGTAACCACATTGCTTTATTCTGTTTCTTTAGTTTCATTTGGTGAACAGTTTTAAGCATACTCAACACTTTAGAAACCTGTAATAATCACAACAATATAATAGAACTGGCAAAAAAATATATATAAAAATTAGAGTTTCTCAAGTCAGTTTTACTAGCTAAGTTAGTTCTTAATATACTTAAATTAGTTTATTAAGTTAGTTCTACCTTAATTACAAACGTGAATACTATTCGCTATAACCAGACCTGTATAACGTACACGAACGAGCGCACGCCGTTAGGGGAACATTTTTTTAACTATTACTGAAAAAGAAAAAATTATTTATTTTTACTCCTTTTTACTACCAATGAAAACGTTATTTAAAATCACGCATCGCGACTCCTAATTACACAATTTTAGATTCATACTTTCAAAATTTCATAACAAATATTTACGTATTCGTATTCAAGGGATTTCAAAGTCACTATTATGATTCGTGTTCAATTGACTTTATTATGCATAGGAATTTTTATTCAGGTGATTTCAAAATGAAATATCGGGATTTATATTCTAGCGATTTTAAAACGGAACATCAAGATTCATATTCATGTGATTTTATTTTATCTAAATCTGGCTATAACTAGAACGACAATCAGAAGCGAAAAAGTAAATTGCATGTCATCAGTAATTATAGTTTTATAGATAAATCAGGGATGTTATTGTATGTTTCAGAATACACTCAGCATCAATTACCCTTGCAGCCTTCAAAAATAATCAGGGTGAAATTTTTCTACTTTTGGAGCTGTTAGAGAAGAACATTTCCATGCAGCACAAACAACATAACAATGATACTATTTTATAAATTGGATCAGAGAAAATAAGGATAACTGGAACAAGCTTGGAGCCATTTTGAAGACAACTATAGAGGGGTTGATTGGAGTTATTGTAACATCAATAACATCATAGAGGTGAGTGCATTTTGCTCAAATCAATTATTTTTGTGACAAGTAAATAAAACTGAATAATTGGGAAAATTAATGATAAAAAGGGGTTACCCTACCCATGATGCACTTGTCTTTACTGAATCTTAGTGCAAAGCTTTATATTTACATTTTTTTTAAGATTTAAAGCAAGTGTTGAAAGTAAGATGTTGATAATATATCCTATAGATGTCACTTCAGCACTACAATGCATTAATTAGCTCAGACTCCATTCATACATAAACATATATTCTTGTTATTGAGTATTTTCTCTTATAGAGCGTGCTTGTTAATTTGACTTATGCAACACACTCATCTAGCATAGATTAAAGAAATAGAAATTCACACAAATGAAACCTGAGAATAGTGTAGTTTACATCATTGCACATACCTGGGACTATGAAATTCATAAAAGTAAGTGTATTTTGTTCTATAATGGATTCCTTTGATGATTTAAGGTGCAAAGGAAAAATAACTAACTCTATAACATTTTCATTAGTAACAAAAAATTTTTAATTTATTGAATGATGATAATGTTGATATTAAAGAAAAGGTCGAAGAATTAACAGATTGTTAAGAACAATTTCTTAATAAGAATTAAAATTTAAAGGCATTTCGAATCGAATATAAACTACTTAATATGTCACTCAGTAGAGTGGCTCCTATGAGTTTTATTACACCGGTGTGCAAAAATTAAGGAGAAAGTGGCTTTTCAAATGTAAGTTTGAACAGCAAGTGAAAATCGATAAAAATCATACAATAGGATCCTCAAAATCTAATAATACAGAAAAGTAAACAACTTGCGGGGAAAAAAACTGTTATCCAGAACTACAAAGAACTTTAAGATATATAAGCTTAAAACACAATTGTACAAACAACCAAAATGTCAATGTTACACAGGATTAGCAAGGAAAGTCTTTAGTGTGGGATATGATCACCACTGGCTGCTATGCAGGATTGGTATCGTCTGGCCGTGCTGAGGACCAGGTTGTTAAGAAGTTCTTGAGGAATCATTGCCAATTCCTGTTACAGTGCTAATCGCAGCTGCGGAATTGATGCTGGCGGGTGGGGGCATGCTCCCACATGTATTCCATTGGATTTAAACTTGGAGACCTTGCTGGCAATTCCATGCGAAATATCTTCACTCTCCAACAGTTTTGTGACAGCCACTGTACAATGAGGTGTAGCATTGTGTCCATGAAGACGTACTTAGAGCCTACAGCACCCCTAAAAAGTTGCACATGAGGGAGGAGAACCTCGATACAATAACGGGCACCAGTGACTGATTCCCCTTGGTATTGTAGATCAGTAGATGTGTTGTAGATCAGTACGGGTACCAAGCATGATAACGCCTCATACAACTCCTCTTCCAAATAGGTCTCTTTCAATGATGTCAGAGATGTTATTGCGCTTTTTTCGCTCTCTCCAGATGTGTATACATCCAGAATCGCTAGTCAAGCTAAATCTGCCCTCAACAACTTTTATAATAATTATTAAAAAAGCAGAATATTTTATATTTTGCATAGTAATGAGAGAAATATTAGTAATTTCATATATTACTGGTTGATTTTAGATTTTTCATACAATGGCAATAACATACTTGCTTGTAGGTATTTTAAAAAATTTTTTTTTTTTTTTGCCCTAAAAGAAAGTAAAATAAAAAAGATCACTACCTCTCGTTCATGTGGTTCTTTAATAACTGCAACACGTTCAGTTTCAGGATCCTTTGTAGTTTTATGCTTGTGGATGATCTTATCTTTGAAAGGCAAAGCTTTCTGGAGATTTTTAGGTACAACCAGAGGAGCAAATTGTTTGATTTGTCTTTCAATTGGCTAAATTAAAGAAAATCAAACATTAACTTCTAGTTACACATGAGACAAACATTGCACAAAAAGGTGATTAAACAAAACAAAAAGTACCAAATGCAAAGAAATAATGCACAATAGTTTTTAAATTCCATTTATAAAATAGATTTTAAGCAGACAATTTTGTAATGTAGAATTGTTTAGATAAATATAAAAAGATTAACAAATGCTTTGACACTTTGCCGATCCATTGGAGAGATCTCCCCGTTTTGAAAACTATCAACACACAACTCATTGGGGACATCTCCCCATTTCGCAAGATTTATAGCTATTAAAAAAATGTGTAGTGGATAGTTTATATTATGTGTGAAATATTATGTGTAGTGGATAGTGGATAACTCGTTCTATCAGCAAACAGTCAATTTAGGATATTTCAAAAAGAGAAGTTAATCCATTTGTGTTGTAAACAGCACATATCATTTTAACTTCATAGCAAAAAACCTATTGAAGGAAAAATAAAATTGAGATTGAGAAAAAATAATTCAATCGAAACTGCATGATTTGCTTGCATCTCAGATTGTTGTGATCACAAGTTTTGTAATAATTTCAGATATCTAGCGACAAAAATAGTTTTTATTAAGTTTTTTAAAATAATGATTTACAAGAAATTGAATACATAAAAAAAAATAAATAAATAAAAATTTTTAGTCTTAAAAATCTTATTTCCTGGAGGGAATTATGTAAGCAGTTTACCTATTTTATGTTAAGCATTTGATTAAACAATCAAAATGATTTTTCTTATAAATGTTAGGTTTTCACTTAATTTTTTAAACTTATTATTAGATCTGAAAGGTATGACATAGATCGTTTTTTATTCTTTGAAAGAAACGTATCAGCAGTTTCAAAAAATTACCCTTTGGCTGGAACACACAAGATTAAAAACATAGGTAACACTAATATCGCCTGGTTTTATTAAAGTAAATGTTTGACTGATTGAAAATTTAATAAAAAACATCATTTGTTATTTCAAATCAAGAGAATAAAATTTGTTGAAATCTATTAAGATTTATGCCTTTCTTCTTTTGGATTATCTGCGGTTATCATGTCATTTGATTTCCCATATAATTAAAAACTCATTTATATGCAAAACGTCGATGCAAAATAAATTCACATTTAAAAAAAAAAAATAGAATGTGCTTAAATTAGAATGTGTAAATATTTTAAACATGTTAGACGATCTCCAGTTTCTTATTTTTACAATATTGCACAACAATGTGGATGGATTACCACTAACAGAAACAGTTATGATAAATTGTTATTGTTGTTAATTTACGTCACACTAGAGCTGCACAATGGGCTATTGGCGACGGTCTGGGAAACATCCCGGAGGGTGATCCGAAGACATGCCATCACAATTTTGATCCTTTGCCGAAGGGATGACACCCCCGCTTCAGTAGCCTGACGACCTGCGCGCGAAGTCGAGCACTTTACGGTAGCACAGTTTAACGAGGACCAATACCGCACAGCCTCGGTCCCTACGCTGACTGATCCAAGTGGTCACCCACCCGCACACTCACCGTAGCCAGTGATGCTTGACTTCGGTGATCTGCTGGGAACCGTGTCTTAAAGATCAGTCCACTGCGGGACACAGTTATGAAAAAATATATATATATATAATTATTAATTCTTTACTTGTACTATCAGATGTTTAACACCTTATATATTTCAATTATTAATGACCTACAAAATCAATCCAGCTAAAGTACAGCATAATTTAAGATGTAATTGTCTATGGAAGGCATGATAGCCTATCCTCATACATGATATGTGTATGCTTTAAAGTTGCAAAAAAAAGGGGAGGGAGGCTTCTTCTGAAAAAAGCTGGACCCGTTGGTTTTCATTTAAAAAAAAAAAAACTAGCTTTTATTTGAAAATGCTCGTCTTTTTGGGCTTATTTTTTGATATTTTATTCAAAATTAACATGCACATATTTGAATCAATTTCATTAATTACTATCCTGAAAATCCGTTACATTAATTGTACTGAATTTCAAATAAATTAAATAAATAGTCAATTTTAACGATGCAATTACTGCTCTATATTTGATTCAAAATCAGACAGGTTAGCCTCAAATTGTTCTAAACATATTTCAATGATGTTCTCATTTATTCTAACTGTGCTTTACATTGATTCAGATTAATTATTTTTTTTAAATTGTACTAATTCTTTTATTAAACTGTACATGATGTTTGAAAAAATTACTATATTTTGTATAAAAAAAATTGGGCAATTAGTAATTATAGTGAATTTTGTATTAGTCAAATACTCATGCTGTATTAAATAAGTTGATTTCTATGAAGTTTGAAGTTGTTGCTTTGAAAGTGCAAATTAACTGCTCCAAATTGTTTTTAACACACAATCACATCAATATATTTTTATATTTTATAATCATCGTTCAACAACCGACCCAATTGTGGGTTTACGGCTGCAATGTTCATCTCTGTAGCCTGGTAATTTTGAACCCAATCCAGAAGACAAGGGAACTCCTGGATCAAGCATTGAGAGAAATTTGCTTTCATGGAAGACTTTTTGATGGAACTAAACTGCATTAGAGTTACATGAAGAGGAAAACCACAAAAAACTTTCCCAGGTTAGCCTGATGGCCAGGGAACTCAAACCCGGAATTCACATTGACTAGCCATCGTTAGAATTCAAACCTGGTTCACCTCATTTGAAGGCAAACGCTCCATCCCCTGAGTCACCACAGCCCCAATCACATCAATATAGTAATAAATTAACAGTTTTATGCCCCTTTTATATTGTTACAGTTTTTGAAAAATCTTAGATCTGATAAAAAGCCAGATTTGTTTGCCCTGGCTAAAATCCTTCAAACTTGGCAACTATAAATAGTTCTAAATTTATGCAAAACTTTAATGCATATTTCAAAAATGCAGAAAGCCTCTGCTAAATGTAGAAGAGTTGGCAGCTATTAAGTATAACTTACTATATATTTTGAATCTTCAGAAACGGGTGCAGAAAGTCCCTTATCAAAACGTAACTTTCCAAGTGTACGTGCACCTTGCCATTTAGACTTGGCATCAGGAGGTAACAGTAGAGACGTAACAGGTATACAGAATTGTGGCACAGTCACTGTGACCCATGTTCTTAAAAACACAATATCTAAGGAATAACAAGAAAGGTAAACAGACATTTTTTATAATACAATACATGATTTTTTTTATTTTACAGGATTGTCACTCAAATTTGGAAGGAAAAAAATTCCCTGTGATTTCCCTGTAATATTATACACAATATATTAAGAGGAAAGAATTACTGTGCTCTTGCTCTTGTATTTTATTTTATCCGTCGTTGAACAGCCGACCCAATTTTGGGTTTACGACTACTAATGTTCAACTTCGTAGCCTTGTATTTTTTTAACCTATCCTGAAGACAAGGAAACTCCAGGATCAGTACCCCAGTGGTATTGATTTGTAATGGGAACATGGAGGACTTTGCGACTCGACAGATTTAATGTGCATCAGTCACCATTTACTACACAGGGAGTCTTCAGCAGACGGGGATCGATCCCACGACCCCTTGGACAAGGAGCCAGTGCCCTACCAACCAGGCTATCCCAGCCTTTGCTCTTGTATGAGCAATATTGGGTTAACTATACTTGTTTTAATTGCTGGAAGAACTTAAGAGTAAAAAAGGAACAGGTGAACATACTTAAATAATGCTATAGTAAATGAAATAGTTTAGTATAGCTGAAATATTTCCCTTAAATATCCCATAGATTGCTCTTTGAGTGGTCACCATGTAATAAAAAACAAATTCCCTGTATTTTCCCAGTTTGTAAAGAAAAAATCTCCTTTTTCCCTTTTACTTTTGGTGATTTTTAAATTCACTATATTTTTCCTGTTCTCTCTGTGGAGTGCCAAACCTGTTTTAATACAATCATTAAGTTAGTTTGAGAGATATAAAGCTTAAAACTTCTTTTACCTACAATGAAAACTCTTGGGAGCAACCACAGAAAATGTCGCTAATGGAGGTTGGTTGTTCTTAGCGCTTACCTCGATTGTTAACATAGGAACATAATTATTCGCTAACGATTTTAATTTTAGTCAGTGTCATTTTCTTCGTGTGGAAATGGCAATTTTGTTGGCATTATGAAAACCAGATAGATCAATAAAAATGATCCCTACTATGTGCATAAACATATTTATCAATTATAAATTATAAACATATTTTAAATAAATAAGTAATTATGTTTTTTGTCTAAATTTGCATTTAATTTTACATCATAAAACTTAGTTAGCTTCAAACGATGAGAAGAGGTTAGATTGTTAGAGATGTTTTAGTTTTTTCTAAAATAACTTTTTTTTTATAATTTAACTTTCAACTCTAAAAATAAATATTTGATAGCATCCTTTTAGTGCACTCTTACTACAACATGAGGTTACAAATCTCTTTCAGAGATCGTAAAAAAAGAGCCCACTAAATAAGAGCCTTACACAAATATTTTGAATGCATTTCAATCTACTTATTTGTTTTGCTAATTTTTTTTACTTTACTTTTTTTTTTTTTTTTTTTTTTTTTTTTTTTTTTTTTTTTTTTTGCATGTTACCTTTTTTTACCTATTCCACATTTGGTGCAGAGGCTTGCCTGGTTGCAAGAAAAGTTTTATGAGTCTCTCTTAAATGTTTTCTTAAATACAGAATTTATAGAAAAATTACGTGCCTCCCAAAAGTGGTCATAAATAGAGGAGGTCGCTACATAGAAGTGGACATTACGAGAGGTATTCAATTTAGCAGATGAAGATAAATATATAGTTTGAATTTTTTTTAAATTTTAATACTTTAATTTACAAGGCGCACATAAAATAACATGAGGTATTAGAGCACCATAACATTTGAAATAAGTGGTGAAATTTTAAAATTATATTAGCTTGATTGAAAACAAAGAGCTATAAAATACATAAAAAAATAATTTTACGTACCACTTTTCTGTATTTTATCTTCAAAAGTAGCTCTGAACACACCTGGAGGATCCTATTAAAAAAAAATAATAATTATTAAAAGGGCATTAGAACATTTTTTTATTTGAAAACTTACATAATTTATCATAAAATAATATTTAAAAAATGAAAACAACTCTGCTGTACATTTTATCCAAAAATACAAACTGCTAAGTTCTCCTTAGGAATAAAAAAGGGCAGGGCAACTACCTATTGGAAAAGGACACTATAAGTTTTGAAAAAGCATTTATTCAACATCGTAAAAATTTATCAAAATGTGTTACATTATTGACTGAATTTGATCTTCAACAATTTTTAAATTACTCCCTTATACTATTTTATGTGTATATTTAAAAAAAATAATTCTCTCTCATCACCAGAATAAGAGAAAATTTGTAACTAATAAAAATAATTAAAGGCATGCTAATAGATAATCTCCGGGCATACATTTTATGAAAAAAGTAAACTAAAAAATATTATTAATTGATAAAAAAATAACTTAAAAGACCTTTATATAATTTAAACTGAAAATTATGAGAAAATTAACATTAAAAGTTGCATTTCTTTTCTTTTTTCTAAACTTATTTATTTAAAAACTTATTTTTCAAAATTAAAACCATTAAAAATTTATTAATATCTCCTCCCCCCTCTGAAAAAAGAGATATCGATAAAAAGTCAACGACTTGAGACTAATCCTAACAAAGTGTCCTAACAGTAATTAGAATTAAACCTATAATTTTACAGATATAGTGTGTAATTATTATTTAAACAATGAATTATTTTTTTTAAATGGAATATGAATAAAAAAGGCAGTGTTTTTAAGAGATCGGCAATTTATTTTTACAAAAAGGACAAGGAAGAGGGTGTATTTATAGGGATCAAAGGGCAGGCCACCCAACTAGTAACACTTAGGAAAAACACTATGAACTGATTTTAAAAAAAAATTTCATATCTTATTATAGTTCGCATTTTAACATTGAAATAAATTAACAGTTGTGATATAAAATTTCTAAAAAATTATTATTTTTCATTCCTAATATATTCTAAAATACTTAACTCTCACATAATGAAATAACCTTCCTTTGAAACAACAATTTTTAGGTATAAAGACTATTTTTACAAAGAAAATCTTTAAAAACGTTTTATAAATAAAAATTTATGAGACAGAAAAGTTTTTTTTTTCATGTTATATTCAATGCATAAATATGGAAGCTGATTTATAAGTAACATCTTTTAATATTTATTTTTAAATGAAACATTATTCCTCAGTATAACACAAAAAATTTTCAAAAATAAATACAGCTAACAAAAACTTCTTTTTTCATCCACTAAATAAAAAGAAAAAAATAAGGGAAAAACAAAATTTTAGAAAGATAATTATAAACCACAAGGAAAAAAAACTCAAGATATATTTTATTTAAAATAAGTTTTTTAAAAAACTTTGGATTAAAATATATCTTTTAATTAGACAACCTGTTTTTACACCAGAAAATAATATCAATGTAAATAATACAATTGTAAAGATTTGCATTTGCCGAAGACTTTCAAAAATCGGCGAATACTTTTGATATTTGGCTAATTATTTGAAATCTGTAGCGCGGGCCCTGATGACCTAACGACCAACACTCATGATAATGCTGGATTTTTCTTACTAGTCTCATATTTTAAAAACTCTAAAAAGCAGTTTTATTATTAAATTGAGTTTAATTATCTATTATTAAATTTTTATTATTATCTATTTTTATTATTATCTATTATTAAATTTTTATTATTATCTATTTTTATTATTATCTATCATTAATAAGGCAATTTTATTACAAAGAAGCAACCATAATGAAGCTTATGAAAAATAAATATTAACACTTGGAGAATAAGGCATACTAGCTACAATTATTCCATTCATTATATATTATATAATGTGTCCTAAAAACTATTAATTATTAAAACAAATAATCTAGTTTAGATATGAAAAAAATCATAAAAAATATTAAACTATGAAGTTTACTAAAGATTTAACTTACTCTAATGGCTTTTTTGATTTGTCCTCTGATACCACTTACAGTTCTAAGAGCTGCTCCTTCATATTTTCCAACTTCTAAGGAAGAATGGAACATACCCTAAAGTATTAAATTCAAAAAATATATAAATTTCTGTCCTCTTCAAAGATGCATATTAAGTTTCGGTTATAGAAACAAAGCAGGAAAAAAAAAATTTACCTCAATAAAAGCTGTTTTCTTGAACACTTGCAACGGGGTTCCAAGTAATTTTAGCTTTTTAACAATATTTGTAGTTTCATTCACTTCGGTTATGCTACCCACAGCTGCGATTCTAAAATTGAACTAAAATAGGGAAAAAAATTATAATTTAAGGTGATGAGTTTCCTTCCACGCTAATAAGGAAAACATAATATTGGCATAATATAAAAATATGCCAAAGGTGCCATAAAGCACATTTTATTATGTAATTAAATACAATATCAAAGTTACTATATGAAGCACAAGGTTACTATATCAAGCACAACAAAACAATAACAAGGTTGAACATTTGTACAACAGTAAGAGGAGCATTTACAAAAATTGAGAGGAGAATTCCGTCTATTTTGTTGAGTATTTTATAAACTTGAGCAAAAAAAAAAAAAAAAAATTAATTTACTAAGACAACTTCAATAGAGGTTAACTCAATCCAGTGTTTTCATCATAGAAAAAAAATGGGTGAGAATTTCTCACCCTTTCTCAAAAACAGGGTGAGATTTCAGAAAGTTAAGTGAGATTTCTAAAAACTAAAAAAACACAAATAGACTAAATCATTTCTTTTATTATAATACATTTTTAACGTCTTCTATTTTTTAAAGCATTGAATATTCTTGCTGCATCATCATAGAAGACTTTGCCTTTACTAGGTATTTGTCCATCTTACATTAGTGCATAAAAAATTCGAACGTCTTACATGAAAAAACCTTACCTACGGTAAACACGTGGTTGCACAGAAATGTGTCCTGAAAGGGGTTCAGTGGTTCGGTTGTGTTCTTTTGTTCGAAAAGGTTCTGAACAATACTGGTAAATAGGGAAGCTAGATAACGGAGCAAATGTTGAAAATAATGAAAGATCCAGGAAGAAAAGTGAAACGGATTTTGTTCTAAATAGCGTAATTCGAAGCTTCTTCCAAAATGCGAGAAATTCGCGAATTTTGAAATTGATTTATAGAATGCGCGAATTTCTCGCAGTAATAATTTTTTAATGCGAGAAAAGAAAAAAATATCCAAGATTCTCGCGTTCTCGCGCTGTAGTGAAAACACTGCAATCACTCACTCAATAGAGGCTAGAGTACAGCTCTTTTCTGCCTTTCTTTATTTTGGCTTTTTGCCATAATTGGGAGAATAGCGATAGATCAAGGACAAAGACCGATGAAAAGCTAGTGATGTTTTCTTGAAGAACAAAAAACAGTTGTAGTTGTAATTTATTTATGATGCATTAGAGCGAGACAATGGGCCATTGGCAACGGTCTGGGAAGTATCCCTGAGGATGATCAAAAGATGTGCCATCACAATTTTGATGATCTGCAGAAGGGATGGCACCCCTACTTTAGTAACCTGACACCCTGTACACAAAGCTGTGCACCTTATGGTAGAACTGTGTCTTAAAGACAATAACGAAAAACAAAACGTTTTATTACGTTAAAAAAGATTGTTTTCAAATATGTTTCAAAAATTTTATTTTTCTACAATGTGTTAAAGTCTATATATGAATCAACACAAAGATCAATATTTCATAGAAAATCTTTTAAAAAAATCTTTTATAACATTTTTTTTTTAGTATTTAACCAATATCTTAAATTAAAACAATGTACTTACTGATATTTCATGTACAGTTTGTACGCCAAGTATTCCAGACTTTTGTTGTGTTATAGGTCCTACGTAATAAAAGAAAGCACATTAGATATATATAAAAAAAAATTATATAGAAAACAAGCATTTACATTCAAATGTAACTGTAGTAAAAGAAACATACCCCAGAAAGCAGCCATACAATGTAAATGCTTAGGTGTGTATTTCAAATGTCGATTTCTTTTGTTGTGATCAACAATATAATACAATGGAACAGTTTGAAATCTTCTCCAACCAAGAGAAACAATAAGGGGGTCTCTCGTTTTCAAAATCTTTGGATACCACCTATGCTTCTTTATACGAGCCTAAAAATATTGCACTAAGTAATCAAACTCGTAAAAAAAAAAAAGATGAAAATGAATTCAAATAAAGATCGAATCATAAATTCACATATTTAACTAAACAATTATCAAACTATATAGCTAAAATAACAGTCTAAATAAAGCTTTGGTCACTTTTATACTTTGTTTCCACTAGCAACTTTAAGCTTTTTTAAGCAACACTTGAGCTTTTTTAACTCGTTTTAAGCTTTCTTATCTTATTTTTTCTAAGGGAGTGGGAAATATGCTCCTCAGAAACTTTATTAATCTTTAAACCTTAATCAGGAGCTATTTTCAGGATTTGGAGACCTCATTAAATACAAAAAATAATAGTAATTGTAGTGTGCGGACATCTTCGCCAGAGGGCGCTTCGCACACTCACCTCCGAAAAAGTAATTAAAGTGAGAGAGAAGCATTCTCGGGACTGACTTGCGAAGTCAGATAAGATCATGTCACTAATTTACCTTTTCTTTTTATATTATTTTTGTATATGTCAATAATAAACAGTGTTGTCTATATAAGTGATAGTTATTTATGAGAACCAACCACATAATATTCATGAAGGAATATTACATTGGCGCCTCTTTTTTTCATATTTTTATGGAAAATGGCTTTCCTAGCGAAAGGTAGGAAAGAGGATTTGCAGTTTATTGCTGCTGAATTGGGTGTTGAGAACACCCAAGATTTAAAACTTTATGAGTTAAAAACAGCGATTATTCAGAACACTAATTACGAAGAACATTTTGTTAGAGAAATGTTATCTTCAATAATCGATAGACGAAAAGAAGAAAATGAAGAAATGAAACGAAAAGAAAATATGGAGTTAGAATTGCGAAAAGCTACTTTAGAAGCAGAAAAGGCGAAGCTCGATTTGGAATCCCAGTTAGAACGCGAGAAAATAATTTTAGAGAAAACAAAACTTGAGAAAGAATCACTTTTGGAATTAGAGCGTATTAATTTAGAGAAAGTTAAATTAGAGAGTACGCTTAAGAACCCAAATAGTGTAATGATCTCCGAAAATATAAATATAAATTCAGTCGAGAATTTCATACATAGCGTTCGCACTTTAACTCTGCCGATTCCTAAGAGAACAGAAGGGTGGAATTTATTTTTTTCATCCCTAGAGAGAGCTTTTAATACAAAAAAGGTACCCGAAGAATTAAAGGGAGAAATTTTGTTAAATTTAATGGGGGAGAAAGCTGCCAATATTTTGATTTACATTAAGGATGAGGATATAAAGGATTATCAAAAAATAAAAGACACTATTCTTAGAGAATTTGAACCAACGCCGGGAGCATGTTTGCTAAATTTTCAGAGAGCAAAACGTTTACCGAATGAAACCCATGTCCAATTTGCGTCACGTTTGGCTACCGGTTTTGAGCAGTATTGTAAATTGCGAAACGTTTCTGATTTCGAAACATTAAAAGAACTAATAGTTAGTGACAAATTATATCAATCACTCGATCAGGAAACCGCGACGCACATAAACATAAAACAGGAAAGAAATTGGTTTAAGCCTTTGATTTTGGGTAAGGAGTGCGATTTATATTTTACATCAAAAAATAAATCTTTTTACGAAGTGCATTCACCTAACGCTAGATTTATCACAAACGAATATAATTCGCGAGACGAAAGGAAATATATTCCTCCTCAAAAGCGGAGAGAGGAATTGAAATTAAAAGAAAATAAAATAAACAAAAAACTAGAATGCTACATATGCGGAGATAACCATTTAGCAAAACATTGTGGGAATAAATTTTCAAAAGTGAAAGTAAAAGAAAATGCTGTCATTGCAAAAATCTCCTCCGAACATTTTTATCCATCTGTTGACCTTCACCCTTTGAAGTATGTATCAGTGTATGTGGGAGGGGGGAAGAAATTGAAATGTGTAATAGATTCTGGAACTCAAATTTTTGTTTGTAATTCGAATTTGATTCCTGGCGCCGCTGATGAGGAATATGGAAAGATTATTTTGAGTTCGGCGTTCGGTGAGCATGTTGAGGCTAAGTTAATAAAAACAAGGGTCTCATTGAATAGAGATTCGGCATTAAATTATCCCGTAGAATGCATAATTGCACTGACAGATAAATTAAATGTAGATGCGTTGATACCACCGTTTTTGTATGAGAAACTGATTTCGTCAGACTTGGAGAGTTCTTGCGAGGGGGAAAGCAGTGAAAATCGGTGCGTATTGCAAAAAGAATCAGCACACGTGTTATTACAACAAATTAATGAAAAGGATATTTTGTCAGAGGGGGAAGAGAGCGGTTGCTCATTGAGTGGGAGTGAGACGAATATTTTAAATGAAGATTCTAAATTTTTTTCGGATTATTATAAATTAAAAGAAGAGCAAACTAATTGTATTTCATTAGAGAAAGTTCGCGCGGAATTAAAACAAAACAAAGGCAATTTTATTTTAATGGATGGATTAATTTACCATAAGGATAAAATTCTTAATGAATCAGTTATACAGTTAGTTTTACCAAAATGTAGGCAAAATAAAGTTTTAAAATTGGCACACGAATCCGTTTTTGGGGGTCATATGGGGGTTAGGAAAACAAAAGAGCGAATAAAATATAGTTTTTACTGGCCGAATATGAGGAAAGATATAACGGAATTTGTCCAAACTTGTGAAGGGTGCCAACTTAGAAAAACTGAGAAAATTGGCGATAGAGCGCCCATAACTCCTGTGGTTCGTCCCGAACTTCCTTTCGAAATTGTGAATGTGGATGTCATTGGTCCTATAGACCCACCATCTAGCAGAGGACACAAATATGTACTTTGTCTTGTTGATCAAAATACTCGCTGGCCTGAAGCTGTGCCGTTGAAATCGCTATCTGCTAAAACAACTTGCGATGCTTTACTTACAATTTTTACAAGAACTGGTATACCCAACGTTATAGCTAGTGATCAGGGGACTAATTTTAAGTCTGCCCTAACTCAAGAATTTCAGAAGCGTATTGGTTCGAGTCCCAGATTCTCCTGTCCGGGTTATGCTGCTGCGAATGGACTAGTGGAAAGGTGGAACCGAGTACTAAAAGATATGTTGCATCACGTAATACGTGAAGATCCAAGAGGTTGGGACCTGCAACTCCCGTTTCTGCTATTCTCGTACCGAGAGGTTCCAAACACCACTACTGGGGTATCTCCTTTCAAGCTACTCTATGGTAGAGAGGCCCGAGGTCCATTGTCTATCTTGAAATCATCTTGGTCTGGTGAAATTAGAATCCCTACCACTTTGTCTCAGTCAGCTGTTGACTATCTTCAAGAACTGAAAGTCAGACTGGAAAAGGCTGCTGAAAGTGCCTCATTGATGGCTGCTGACAAACAGAAAGCATACAGTGACTATTTTAATAAAAGATCTTCAGTACGAAATTTTAGTGTCGGTGAACATGTAGTACTTTTAATCCCTGATTCTGCCGATAAAATATATGCCCGATGGACTGGTCCAGGTGAAATTGTCAAGCACTGTTCCCCACATTCTTACATGGTAAAATTACCAGATGGGAGAGTGAAACAAGTGCATGTAAACAAGATAAGGAGATTTCATGCTAGAGTTAATTCAATTGGTGTGATATTTGAAAATGAGGACGAATTTGGTGAAATTATTACAGTACCTGAAACGAACATTGGAAAAGTTATGTTTGATTCACAATTGGACTTAGAACATTTGAGTGATGATCAGAAAAGAAAATTAATTTCTTTGCTGAGTAAACATCAAGAACTTATGACTGGAAAATTAAAGAAAGCAAATGTTAAAGAGCATAAGATTCGACTCATACCTAACAGTGAGAGGAAGAGGCCTTATATATACCGTATTCCGGATGCTTTGAAAGGAAAAGTAGATGAACAGATAGAAGAGCTTTTAGATGCTGGTTTAATAGAAGAGAGTTCAGCTGAAATTGCTTATCCAGTGGTGTGCGTTAGTAAAAAAGATGGAGGGATGCGGATGTGCATCGACTATCGAGCGTTGAATGCTGTGACTATAACGGACGATTTTCCTATGGAAGATACTACTGAGTTAATACATACTATAGGGAAAGCTAATGTAATCTCAAACCTAGATCTGCTAAAAGGTTACTATGCTATTCCCATGGAGGAAGCAAGTTACGATTTAACTTCCTTTAAAACTCACAATTCTCAGTACAGATTTCGAGTTATGCCGTTTGGACTCCGGAATGCTGCAGCAACGTTTCAGAGAGTGATGAACAAGGCCCTAGCACCATTTAAAAGGTTTTCACGAGCATATATAGACGATATTGGTATATTTTCTAATAGTTTTGAGGAACATCTGGTACATCTGGAGTTGATTCTGAAAAGATTAGAAGAACTCAATTTCACTGTTAACCTGAATAAATGTTCTTTTGCTAAACCAAGTATCAAGTTTTTGGGACATATCATCGGTTCGGGTGAACTCCAGCCCGATCCAGAAAAAGTTCGAGTCATTCAACAACTTCCAAGACCAAATACTAAGAAAGAATTGAGAAGTGTACTTGGATTATGTGGTTTTTACCGAGATTATATTCCGAAATATGCTGAATTAGTGTATCCTCTAACAGAATTGACAAAAAAGCGAGTGCCGGAAGAAATTCCCTGGAGTGAGGTGCATGACTCTGTGTTCTCACGTCTCAAACGAGCCCTTGTAGAAGCCCCATCACTTTACACACCAGTGCCCGGTAATCCTTACATTATTTACTCAGATGCATCACAGATTGGAATAGGAGCCTGTCTTTCTCAGCGAATAGGAGATAAAACTTTCCCAGTGTCTTACGCTAGTCATAAATTGACCAAAACACAACAAGCCTGGTCAACTATAGAACGAGAAGCTTACGCTATTGTGTGGTCATTAAAGAAATTTGAGTCGTTGATATTTGGCTCTGAAATAGAATTTTACACTGACCACAACCCCTTACCGTATTTAACGAAGTGTGCTCCTCAGTCATCTCGGTTACAGCGATGGGTGTTCGCTCTTCAAAAGTATAATATAATTTTGAAACATTGCCCTGGTTCCAAAATGCCGCATGCGGATGCATTATCTCGTCTGTTTCCAAATACTCTGACTTAAATATTGACTGTTCACATTTTGATAATTTAAAGTTTTTTTTTTTTGATTTATATATTATTTTGATTTTATAAGCAAGTTATAAATTTTAATAGTTTAATGCTACGTTATGTTAAAAAATTGAGTGCATTACCTGATTATTGAAAATGTTTTATTATTTGAATTTAAATACATTATTTGCATTATTTGAAATATTCATTAATATTAGTGATGAATATTAATTGTCATTTTAGTTTAAATATTTACGATATGGTTGTTTACTATCAATTTATATGTTTTGTCAGATTAAGTATCAAGGGAGATACTTCAATCTTGCGTGGGGGGTGTAGTGTGCGGACATCTTCACCAGAGGGCGCTTCGCACACTCACCTCCGAAAAAGTAATTAATTAAAGTGAGAGAGAAGCATTCTCGGGACTGACTTGCGAAGTCAGATAAGATCATGTCACTAATTTACCTTTTCTTTTTATATTATTTTTGTATATGTTAATAATAAATAGTGTTGTCTATATTAGTGATAGTTATTTATGAGAACCAACCACATAATATTCATGAAGGAATATTACAGTAATAATAATAATAAATAATAATAATGAAGGGTTTTGTTTGCATGATGAAGGTTTTGTGGAGTGCTCCTACAATGCAACCGGTTAAGATGTTGCATACACTGCTGCTTGCAGAGCCAGGTGATCGATCCAGGTGACTGACCAAACAACCAATGTGTATGTGCAGCTAAAGTGTACGTTCAATCTGCTGTGAAAATCCTCTCATTAATTGTGGAAGTTTGGAGAGAGGGAAGTTTGTAGTTTGGATTACATAAAAATACATTGTATATCAAAACCTAGTTATCATCTCAAAGGGAGAAGGAAAATTGGTTCACCTTATCAGTCATTAAATTATGATATGCAAATTTGAGCAATCACTTTTTGATGAATTTATTTTCTGACGATTTTATTGTAAATCAACATCATTTACTAATTGGTTTTTCAGACATTTATTTATGCTCTAATTTTTTAATATGATGTTATAGACTTACGAATTTCAAATTTCAGTTAACACTTTGTAATGCATTTATTCCCAATGATTCCATCATAAATCCACATGGTTTTATGATCGCCTTTTCAGACCACTCAACTTAATCTCTGTTCTCCAAATCCTGATATTTTGAACATGTTACTACTATTACAAAATTGAGTTCCAATCAAACTCGCGATTCTTTTTTCTAACTTTAATGTTTTTAATGTGATGTTATTCGAGACAAATTTTGTGTTTCAATTATTCAGATGGTTTTCATTGTTAAATCATGTTAGTTGCTCATGATTTTTTGGAGTTCTTTAAAGTATTTTACCTGAATGATTTTTTTTTTCTTAAATCAATCCCAATCCCAAAATATTTTAACATAACTAGAAAAAAATGTCTCTATAAAGGGTTAAGCCAGATTCCAGACCATATATAAGCTTACTAAACCTGCTAGTGGAAATCAGGTATTACGAAAGTATAGTAAGAAAATGAAAATTTTAATTACCTGCAAATAACCCATTTTTTCTTCATTCTTCAATAGTGAACCAAGAATAATAGGATAAGAAGGGTCAAAATTTCTAATAAATTCACAGGGCATTTCTTCAACTTCAAGTCTAAGATACAGGCCTGGTCTGAAACCTTCATATTGAACTCTAAGCTCATCATCAAGTCCTTCGAATTCAGTCTTATTTAACTAGAAAGACAATCAAAAATCAGGTTTAATATGCAAAAATGTGCAATTTCCTCAGTTAAGTTTAAAAAAATATTTAAATACTAAGGAATGGGAGCATTTAAGAGCTTATGATAGTTGTTTTCTTTCAGAATTACTACTGGTATATTATTACAAAGAAAGTGAAAAAAATTCATATTTCTTTCTACATTGCACATTACGATTCAAGTTAATTAAAACTTCATAAGTTAAAAATCTCAATGCATTGAAATTTTCTTTACTCCACTTTTTAGGAAAATAAAATGGTTGGAGAAAAAGCTTTTTTGTAATGAAGAAAAACATAGAAAACTATTAACTTATTGGGGTAAATTTCAAAATTACAAATGCACTATTATAAAGATAATGAAAACGAATTATACATTAACTATATTGCATATTATAATACTTGTAAAGATTTTTAAAAAAACTTCAAACTACAAACATCAAAATTTCCTGATCTTTTTTATTCCTCTTCGATCATGTTAAATATATGATATGAATGATAAATAATTGAAAATAAAAACAGAAATTTTGCTATTTTAACTGTTGATGAAAGGATAAAAATGTATCGTAACAATTTATCTCCATCACTAAGTGCTTCCAAAATATGTATAATACTTATGAACTTGGGACTTATTTTGGAAGTGCAAATTCAGGTAAGTGCAAATTTCTCATCCATCACTTCTGTGAGGATTTAGCATCCATCACTTGTCATCAAGGATGCAACTACAATACTAAGGGTTAAGAAAAGAAATGGTTTTGTGTTGAAGGAATTAAGCTGAGAGACAAGGCAAAATATACAATTATAAAAGCAAAAGGCAAACTTTTATTTTGATGCTGAAGAAAAATTTGGAGCGATAAAAAGTAACATTAGTAGAAAACTAAAAATGAAAAAAAATTAACAGTTATTTAAAAATCAATTCACAATATAATTTGAAAGTCATTTGAATAACTTATCTTCTTCGTTGAAATTAAAATCTTAATACATTTTTAAAACATTTTAAATTTTTTTAAAAAAAAAGTTCTTACTTCTCCTTGAGTATCAGCTTCTAGTTTAAGGTCATCGTGATAAGATCGTCCTTCAGAATCGTCAAACTGCTTATTAAACATTTCTTTGAGTTTCTTTTTCTTTTCCATTCTTTTCTCTTGGGCTGTCTTCTCTTTTTCAGCTTTCACTTCTTCAGTCTCATCTTTATCATCTTGCTCTTCATTCTCAGACGATTCATCTTTTTCTACAAGATAAGAAAAGTGGGACATAAGTACACTGATTGAGCTCAGATTGAATTTACAGTTAAATGGTAGGAGAGACAGGGTATCTGCTACATTTTAGATTTTCTAATCCACGACTATTCATGACTTCCCATGACTAATTCCAAGAACTTTTCATGACTTAATGAATTACTATTTTCTCCACAAAAACACAACAATAAATTTAAAAAAACATTATAATAACATTAATTGAGATGATAGTTATAACCAAAACTGTTATACTCTGTATCTTCATATTTAGATTTTAAATTTAAAAAACAGAGTAAAGAAAGAGTTGAAGCAATAAAGTAAGTGAAAAAAATACAAAAGCAAATAATTTTTTGTTCCTTTTTTTTCTGCAGAATTATATTCTAAAGATAATTTTCTTGTTCATAGGAAAGGAAAGAAATACTCCAGATTTTTCTGTTCTCATTTCGGAATGACTGGCTTGCTTCAGTTAGAATTTAAAATTGATGAAATAAAAAACAAAAATTCTGAAATCAGAGAAGTTTAAAAGATAATTCGCTCTAGAAATGATGTTTTATCTTTCATTTTTTTTAAAGAACACCATAATTTTTAAAGAACAGGATGAAACTGATGAACAGGGGAGAAACAGATTGCCCTGATTCTGGCCAAATTAGTTCTGCTTTCTAACAAACAGGCTCTGGATTGCATTGTACTTAGTAACAAGAAAGAGCAGCAATATTAGCATTTTGTTATTGTTGAATACATGGCACCTGCATAGATAACTTTATTCAACTGAGAATGGATATGGAATATTGAAAATTGTGTTTGCTGGGCTTATAAAAACTGCAGTGGAGCAAGGAAAGAAAACTTTCATTTCACACATTACATGTAAACTTTGTACATATTATCAAACTATCAAATAAATAAAAATCTCTGCTATTTTTTTCACTGAAATTCTAATATATATCTAAATTACACATAGAGTTTATATATGCATCCAGTTTTATCCCACTAGAGGAGTACAGTTTGTCTAAAGTAAAAACTCCCCAGGCCATTCGTCTGGACCTGTGGTGGTAACTATGGTAATGAGCTATAAGTATTTCAAGTAAGAGTATGTGGTCAATTGTCAAGGACAGGATTGGGCTCAGATCAGCGAGAGAAAGGGAATCTTTTTCTTCGGACAACTGTGTTAGCCTTAGAGTTAAGAGAAGCTCCTTGAAATGCGCTATTCTTGATTCCATAGCAACAGACGGTCTCTTTGCGACGGGGGAGTTTTTACTGAAGATAATCTATAGTTAAAAGCTACTAATTTTATATAACTGCACTAAAAATATGAATTTCCGATTAAATGATCAACACAAACTAAAATGTTACTAACAAACAAATATTAAAGCAATAGTTAGAAATAATTTTAGAAAAATGCAAGACATTCAGTCAAATTCTATGGAACTTTTAGCTTATTACAAATTCTAAAAAAATAAATACCCCTTTAAAGGATAAAATATATAAATGTTATTATGTCTAAAATGTATAGCCATTTTCTTACTTAGTAATTATAAAAAATTAATTTACAAAAAATCTATTTATTTTATACAGAAGTAAAAATCGAAAAGAAATATTACACGAATAGTTATTAATTTTAAAAAATATTAATAACTATTGTATATATTCCATTATTTAAATGTAGTACATGTATAATTTTCTCTATATTTTTAATTATACCACATATTTTTTTTTTCTTATTTTAAGAATTAAAACAAAGCAAAGCACCCTTTTAAAAAATATTAAACCATGCATTTTTATACATATTGAGCAAAAATGGTTGCTTGAAACAGATGTTATTAAGCTTTACAAAAATTTATGAAGTCTAGTTTTAAAAACGTAACTTAAAATTCTTATGCATAAAATTATGAATAAACCAATTTTGCTACATAGATTTGAGATATGGATATTAACTAAAAGTGATTCTGATCCTCTAAGAATATGGGAAAAGAAAATTTCGCAGAATATTTTCGGTGCAATTTATGAGGATATGCATTGGAAGATCAGAACAACTAAAGAGATTTATGATAAATATAAAGAACCTGGCATGGTAACAACTATTATAAGAATAAAAAGTATATGATGGTTTGGGTACGTCTCAAGAATGGACTCAGAAAGAAGGTCATAAGGTTATTAGACAGAAAACCAGAGGGACAAAAACCTAGAGTTAGTTGTAAAGTGCAAATTGAAGAGGACCTGAAAGTACTTAAAATTATCAACATGAAGAACAAGGCAACCAACAAAAGAGAATAAGTCAAAACTTTAAGGAAGGCCAGGCTATAGCTCTAGGATAATGATACATTTTTATGTCTTTCAGGAAATCAATTATACTTCCTAATGATTTAAAATTATTCTATAAGTTAAAATTTTTAAAAGAAAGTCAGACATTTCAAAATCTTAGAACATGACAGTTATTTTGCCAGTAATACTAAACTTAAAAAAAAATCCAATTATTACTTAGAATAACTAATAAATCAATGGAACTAATAAGAAATAAATGAATAAAACAAAAAGTCAGACATTCCAAAATCTTGAGTTATTTTAAAATATGAAAACATGAGTTATTCACCAATAATACTAAACTTAAAAAAAATACATTACTTAGAATAATTAATAAATCAATGGAACTAATAAAAAATAAACTCATAAAACTAATAAGAAGATCAATAAAACTACTAAGAAATAAATCAATAAAACTACTAAGAAATAAATCAATAAAACTAATAAGAAATTTAAAAAAAAAAAACATACCAGTGTCTCCTTCAGGTTTACTTTTGCCTTTATGAACAGTTCCTGTTTCAAAATCTTCAAAGTCACCAAACAGATCATCTAAAAATAAAAAAAATGTACAGAGATAAATTATATTATAAAATTTTGGGACAAAATTAAAACAGTTTGCATAACTTTTTGTGAAATAAACATGAAATTTTTTTAACATGCTCACATTTTAAACATAAAACTAAGTTTAACCTTAAAACTTAAACTATAAATTATCAGAAAATATAATATCTATCTTGAAAATACATTTGTACCTTTGCATGCAACCATATTAATCTGGCCCTTTTCAAACTCTTCGATTCATGACTAAACAAACCAGTATGTCTTAAATCTTTAATGACACTTAAACAAATTATTTAGACAGTTTTTTTAACCCTATTCTGTAAAAACATAAAGAACAATTTCAACTTCTAGCAATATTTTTACATAACTGATAAACTGTTTTTTCAGACTGTAAAGAAAATAACTTTTTATGGTAATTTGATAATGACAAAATGAAACATTTATTTGATATTCCACAGTTACAATATTTCAAAACGAAATAACAAACTTCAAGATATTTATCTATAATAAAAATTGTAATTGTTCATTAAAACATAAAAAAATACTGCTTAATATAAAAAATAATTGATTTTTATTAATTACCAATTGTGTTTTTTATTAATTACCATAAAAAAAGGATTTGTCTCTATATAGCAAAAATGTTAAGAAAAGGAAATTCATAAATTTAAAAAAATCGTTATCGTTCTGTAGTTTTTATAAAGCTATCTATAATTGCTAAAGCTTGATGGTACTATGATAATTCTTTTAAATAATAAAAGCATCCCTCCCAAAGTGCAGGTATATAAATAACAATAAATTACAATATAATATTAGGTAAGATAAAATATAGAGTTTAACTATAGAAAAGCTGAAAATTGCTATTATGCACCAAAAAAAGAAGTATTATGTGCATAATGTAGCAAATTCAAACTGTGTTTAAAGAGGAGTCAGAGACAAAAATATACTGGAAATGACACAAAATTAAAGAAGGAAAAATCACTAAGGGCCTTTGGGGTCATAAGGAATTGAAAGGTGATAAAATTCTTATAGTCAAGACTTACCATCTTCTTCTAAGAGCTTTTCAGCATCATCTTTATCTTCCCATTTTCCAGTAACAAAGCAATCTTTAATTGTTTCTAATATCTACATAATACAATAAAATAACATTGTATTATCTTAATAACATTAAACAAGCATGAAATAGCATAAAACAAAAATAATAGAAAGCATGTGTATTAAGTAAATTAAAAAGTTACTCTCAATCTATGTCAATCCATGGATTTAAAGTTTTATTTTATCAGTTATTACACATTTTGAAATGAGCATGTAAAAAAATATTATGTAATGTGGTTATTTCTCAACATCTCAAGGGGAAAAAACTTTAATGAAAATTAGAAATAAGGTAAGTGATAAAAAAAAGCGCAAAACATTATTATCTAGGTAGAATCACATATCAGGTTAAAACCTTAAAAACTGATAATAACAACAGTAAATATATAACTAACCTCTTGATCAGACCAATCCCTAGGTACATTAGATACAAATCTTGAACAGTCAACGTCATTATCACTCAAAACATTTTTCTTATCCTTTTCATGTTTTGCAATAAAAAACAAGTTTCCAATTTCACCATCAGATTCTGATTCACTATCTTGATTCCTTATAAAGTCTAAAAAGTTTTTAAGACAAATTAGCAGGTAGTAAGTAAAACAAAAACACATAAAAAACACATAAACACTTAAAAAACACAAAAACACATAAACCCTTAAAAAACACATAAACAATTTGCTGTTTGTTCTTTGAGTAAACTTAAATAAGCACGAGCCAACTACATGGCCAGCTTGGTGACCCTTACAACATTGCTATGTGATGTGATCTTTTCTAACTTGACACTTCCATAATAAAAAAATTTCAAAGAGAACTAAGCTGGATTTTAACTTAAATTTTTAATGCTGAACAAATCTCAAGAATCGTGAAGAAGTTGCTCTATTTTATGAAACATTGTTAGAATTTAAATCAAAGGTACATCTAAGAATGAACAACAAAAACTATGAAACTAAGAAGACAATGAATTTCTCAGAATGTCAGATTCTAAGAAAATTTTATTTTCTTCTATTTTGTTTTATATTTAAATAAAAGAGTATTTGAAACTTAACATACTTCAAATACATGCTAAATCAAACTGCAAAACAATTGGTTTGTTTTATAGTAGTTTAAATTTGAATCAGGCACTGATATAACCACCATTGTTTATATAAATACTTTCAAAAGGATTAATAAGTCTAAATAATAATGTTTAGTGTTGTGTCCAAATTTATCCAACCTATTTTAATTCAAAAATTTCTTACAGCAAAAAAATTTTTAAAATAATTGTATTTTTCAAGTGAAAAATATTTAAAGGAAAACTTGTTTTCAAGGTACGCTAAGAAAGTTTCTAATTAATCATTAACTGTTCTTCAAGAAAATTAAAACAAATATGATTAACATTAACAATAAAACAGGATTTGATACTAAACGAATCAAATAGCTTAAAAATATGAAATACTTTGCTTCACTATACCTCTCATAAAAAAAAAAAAAATAACTCATGCAATACTTTATTTAAGGTAAGCATTACAAATTCACGTGATTTAGATATTTTTTTCAGAGCATAAAGAAAATAGAAAACTGAGTAACTCTGTCTTTGTCAACTTCAGTTGGCAACCTGTGTTAGACGAAACTTTGCACGTTTAAAATTAAAAGAACACAATTTTTAAAAAATAAAAATATAAACTTTTTTCATGTTTTTGTACGATAGAATAAAATTAACATTTAACTTTAAGGAAGTGCTTTAATTAAAATTGTTAGAACTTTACTCAGCTCACTAGAATAAGAGAAAAAAAATAGTGTTTGAAAACCATATTTATTCATGATGTACATTTACATTCATAATTGAGAATAATTTTAACAGTTTCTTACATTTAATAATTTAAGGAAATTATTAAGATTAAATAATTTATATAAAATAAATTACATATGCTAAAATTTATTTTAAAAAAATAAATTTTAAAAAAAACGGTTTACGCGCATATTACACTGAAGGGATCATTAAACTGAAATGCCACTGGATATGGGATGGATAATTGTATAAATATTTTATAGTACAGTAACTCCCTGATGCTCTCTAGAGGGTATTGAGGAAAATGCACAGATAGCTAAACACTTTGTAAATAAAACATTAACATATAATAGAACATAAAAAGTAAAATTAACATTAAGGCATCAAAACTTTGAATTGCTTCCCAGACCAGAATATGGGACCAGAACTACCCCCTATATTTTGTGGATCAGATATCCGAATCTGTTGATGAAAAAAGGTATGTTTATACAGAGAAAGTATGTTTTTGTGTCTGATTTTGTAATTTAAATATCGTCTGCACTAATTAATTAGCATATTTGAGGTTACCCCCTCAAACCAGTAAGTCCTAGAACGTAAAGATCCGATCATTAGAACAAAAGATACTCAAGGAGGTTTTTTTTTTTTTTTTGGCACACTATACATAACCAGCAAAGCCAAATATTAGGGTTACCGCTGAGTTAGATAAGAATTTCTCAGTGTTCTTTGTCATAAACACTAACATTGGTACCTTAGCAGACCAGACTGAAAAATGTTAAAAGCACATCGTACAACATCAGGATCCTGCTTCAAAAATGAACGGCTCTAGCCGATATTCGGCAAGCCTCCCTTGCTGAATGCTTCTGCGAACTTGAATTTATGCTTTGTCTTTTTTTGCTGCAGTTATAATAGCTAGAGGCCTTGTTAATAATCTAATTCAGTAGGACTTCAGTTAATTGCTTAAAAATTTAAAAAACAGAATGTCAATTGGAAAAAAAATTTTAATTATTCACAATTTATTCAGATTTTTTTAAAAATTGTAAATTTTGAGACATCTTTTGTTATGTGAATTAAAATTTCAGAGACAAATGACCAACTTACTGTGCCCATAAACAAGTTTTTGTAAGCTAACAGTTTCCTTTTGACGTTGATAAAAATCATCAGCTGCTTTCTTCAATAAATTTTCTTTCCATTTTGCTTGACCTATAAATGCATCATTATAAAAGTAATGTCATAATTCCCTTTCCAGCAGTTTTAAATATAAACATTACAATAATACATATTTTGATAACAATAAAAAAAAACTGTGGAAGTATATGCAGCTTTAATTATTTTAAACCAGATTTTAGTTCAAAACTTATTTTTACATGAAATCACAAATGAATCAAAGAAGCATTCATTATACTCAAAATATTCACGACAGATATTCATTTCTTAAAAATGCAGATAAACAATCATATTTCATTGCAATTCTCCAAAGAAACGAATAAGTCTAAAGAAAACTTTTTTTCAAGTTTCTAAATTTAGTTTTAGTTAAATGAATAAAGTATTTGGTTAATTTAACATTACTGTCACTATCAGACTGAGAAAAAAAGTTACAATTTTTTTTGCATGAAAAAAAATATAGAATTAGCTCCAATATTAAGTTTAAAAATTCTTATAAAACAGTTATCAATATATATAAATGAAAAAAGCGTATTAGAATGTAAAGCTTAAACTTAAACAGAACATATTGTCTTTTTAATTAATTACTTTTTAATTTCTTACAGACAAGGGTTAATAATACTATGTTGATAATTTAAGCTTTATAAAAAAAAATAACCATTACATTTATTTTGTTCTTCAAACATTTTATTGCAGTAACACTTAATTTAATTTCTTCAGAATAGAAAAATAAGCAAAACTTTATGCAGAAAAATGGTAGAAAAACCTAATTTGTTCTTTTTTTTAAATTATAAATTTTAAATAAAACAGTTAATTTTTTAAAAAAAAGACTAAAAAACCCTCACCAAGCTCATCCTCATTCTCATCTTTATCATTTAAATCAAGTTTTCGACGCTTCTTTAAACGCTTGTTATCATTTTCTTCTCCTGAATCTCCTTCATCGCTATCAGATGATTCAGCACTCTCTTCATCATTATCATCAGCAAATCTAACCTTCTATAGCGAAAAAGAAAAGAAAAAATAAACTGAAGCTTTTGTTTTGTGATTGCAATGTTCTAATTATGAAAAATTATAACAATACGTAATAATGAAAAGATAATAGAAACAAACTATAAAAAACCTTTTTCTTCTTCTTTAAAGTTACATCAATACCTTCATCATCACTACAATTATCACTTTCACCGTCACTATCGTCTTCATTGTCTTCATCATCACTATCAGTTTCAAATCCAAGGCCAGTTGGTTGTTCATCTTCATCATCATCACTACTTAAATTCAAAACAATAATAGTTTGTAATAATTAAAATAATGTTAGTTTTAATAATAAATATCTTTTTCTACTAATAAGAGTGGTATATGCATATTTTTAGAGAAAATTTAGGTAGGTCCTCACTTATGAAAAAAATCAAGATTAAATATCCTATTATTCTGTTCGTATTGAAAACATGAAATAATGCTCCACTAAGTAGCACAGTTTAACAATTAATCAAATTTTATTCAATAAAACAATTTATTTCTCAATTAAATAATGAAAACTTTTGGATCTCAAGTTATGGGGATTAGAAGTTCAAAAAGTAAAAATGTTTCGACACAATAGCTCAAGGAATTCATTAAAATATATATAACTTTGACAATCTGTTACTTATGACCATTGATGAAATTCTGTTTATCTTTGCTATCCTACATTGAATGTCTATTTAAAAAAATATGGGGGGTTTTTTTTAGATAATATGCAAATAATTGAATTTTACGTTTTGTTATTTATATTGTTTTTAAACTTTCAAAACATATTGATAAAATTATAATGCAAAACTATAAATATTAACTCTGAAACTTAATCTAACAATAGCTTGGTATAGATTTAAAATTATTCTAGTTCCAGTCATTCATATTATCAATGGAATAATTTTAAGTAGTGAGAAATTATCAAAAAAAAATAAAAGTAACAGGAAAAGTTTTACAAATGTAAATGACATTGTTAATGCAATAAATTAATAAATAAAAGCTTGTTTTCGAGTTTTTTCTATCCTTTAGAAGCATCTGGATTTTCAATGAATTGAACCAGAATTAATCTCAATTACTCTCGATGATTGAAGCACATAAAACTATGAGCAACATTTTAAAAACAGGATTTTAAGTTGAAATCATGTAAATCGTGCCTGAAATAAAAAATGCAAAAAAAAGCCTTCTTAAAAATAAAAAGATATATATTAAAAAAGAAAAAAATCTCTACCTTGATAAATCATCATCATTTAAAGACTTTCCACCAGAAAATAATTGGAATTGAGATTTATTTTTACTTTGACTGGCTGAAGAATCTTCCTGATCATCATCCTCACTGCTAAATAGAAATAATGTAAGTTTTTAGAAATATATCTAACTGTGTTTGATAATTAACATAAAACTAGTTAATTTATAAAATAATTTAAAACCTTTTTGGAACATTTTCAAAATTATTTTTGAGTGTTTAACAATCAGGTATTGAACATATTAAAAAGAAAGCTATGTTTCAAAATAAAAATGATATTCCAATCCTGGTCAATTTATACAATTTTGTTTACTAAATAAAATTAAAACAAAATAACCATTATTTAAAGTCCATATCTTCTAGTTTGCATTTTGACTTTTTTTATTAATTAGTTCTTAGTGTAATATATTAATCAAACATATGAACCACTCTCTCTTACTCTATTATGACAAATATATTTTTATGTTTCTATATTTGTCAAATATATGTTCATTTCTTCAAATATATTTTTTTATATAATATAAATATCTTTCTCTATTATAACAAATATATTTTTAATTTCTGAAAAAAATTAAAAATGCAAAACTGTTAAAATATAAATTTTTTTAGAAGTTGAAAAAAATATATAATTTATTTTGGAAGTAAACAAAATTCAAGAAGCAATGTAAAAGATATTATAGAAGTAAATAAAATCCTAAGAGCAATATAAAGAATATTATAAAAATTATATCTTTATTCAAGACAATGAAAAATTTGGTATTTTGTTGCCAAACCATTAATGTGGTAGACATGGGATACACTATTAAAACAGTATTTTGTTTTCAATGTCTCATAATAATTGCTGAAACAACTTTTAAAAAATAATTCTTAACATTTCTTTACATGTACATAAAAATTTAAATGTTTGGAAAGCTACTATTATGACAGCAACATCAAATCTAACAACACATTTTGAAAAATAATGATCGAAACCTTGGAAATAAGAGTTTTTTTGTATCTGCAGGAAAAAATTTATTTTATCTTCAGTGTCAAAACTATTATATTGGTAATTGAACTATTATATTGGTTATATTGGTAACTTTTTTGGTATGGTGCAATTCTAAAAATATTCGTTTTATTTCATATACAAGTACTTCACACATTATTTCAGACTTATTTTAAAATTGATTTTGAAGATTAAAATTTAAAAAAATTTTTAAGCCAAAATGAATACGTAAAAAATGGAATTGTTACCTTAACTAACTACAGTTGCTTTAATTTATTTTAATTGTACATTTATTTCTTACTTTATTTTTTTTAATCAGATAAAAGAATGAAACTTTAAAAAATTAAATCATTCAGTAAGTTAAAGATATTGCTTACTTTATTCTATTTCAACCAAAATAAGTAGAGTTTGTTTAAATTGTGAAAAAAAATCTATTAAAAATTCAATAAACAAATAATAGCTAGTAAACAAAGAAAAATACACCAACATATACCTGGACATGTCTTTATCACCAAGTGGCTTAGCCCCAGCAAATAACTGAAACTGTGCTGCCTTCATTTTTTCATCTATAGGATGTTGAACAGCAACCATAGTGTTAACTAATTTATCAGCTGGTTTTTCTTCCTACAAATTAGAATTTCTTATTAGAACACTAACTCATTAAAATATTTAAACTAACACTATTTACAACTCTTTACATTTTCTCATACATGTATAAAATCATCATTAAATTATTACCAATATTTTTAAAATCTGTATTAAGCCTGTAAAATGACAATCTATGTTATCGGCAAAATGACATGAAAAAAAAAAGGCTTTGACAAATATTTTCTCATTTGCAGTAAACAGGTAATTATTTTACCATTATAAATTATTAAAAGGAGTTATCTTTTAATATTAAATTAAAAATTATTTTTCTATCATCTTTTAATGCCAAAAATATTAAAAAATTGCGACACATTTAGCACACAATCAACAAATTAAAAATATCTTTTAACATCATGGTAAAATAAATTTACATTGAATATCGAATTAAAGTATTTGCTTAAAAATACAAACAAAAAGTAAATGCTAGTAATTAAATGCAAGATATCAAAAAAGAAAAATTTTAAAACAATACCTGCCAACCCCAATTTTTCAAAATGCAGAGGATTCACTATGAAATTGTACACTTTCAATTTCTATTCCTTATTCAAAGAATCAACAGTAAAGCTATCAGAATGTAATGTTATAACAAATTCAGCTTAAATAAATCCAAAATAGAAGAAAAATATCATTCTTTTTTTCCGTACAATGAGATTTTCTACGTTCTGCATTAATGTGCATCAGGCTGAAGCACAGCAAAAATTAAAGATGTCATTGTCTGAGCTAGGGATGAGAGCACATTCTTACACATGTATTCGTACACATAATTAGTTCTAAGGTACGAAACTTTCATGAAAATTTTCAAAATACAGAAAGTTATAAACTCAGCAGTGCAGAAAACTGGGGATAAAAAAGTTGACAGTTATGAAAAAAGGTAGAAATAAAAACACTCACTTCCTGCTTTTTTTGCTGTTGATTATCCCTCAATTCGATATAAACTGCATCTTTATCATAAACAATACCTCCCACTCCACTCATGGGCGCATAAATGAGCCTTTCTTTTTCGTTCAGTGAACGTTTTTTGTTTTTCTCAGGCAAAGGGCAAGGATCAGGCAAAAAGTGAATATTTCGAATCAAATAATCACCACAACCTGAAAATCAATTTAAAAATAATTAAATATTAGTTTTGAATACTGTTTTTATAATAAAAATCACTTAATTTATCATATAATAACAATATAAAACTGTTTTAAACTTTAAAAAGAAAAAAAAAACACTTAGAAATTTTAATGTGAAGTTGAACAAATTTTTCCCTCCAATTGAAAACATCACTAAACTTTTTTTTATTTATTTATAAAAAAACATATTAAAAAAAGAAACATTTTTATTTCCATGCTTAAAACTTTGTTTAAAATATTCAATTTAAAACTATCTTTGTATTGACTAGAATGCTTTATAACATAAAATCTAATCAAATCTGTAAATTTATTGTTATTTTTTAGAGGTAAAAGATTTCTCCCTCAAAACAAAATAATTGTATTAGCTCTTTGCAAACTATTACTAATAAAGAAAACTTATTCAAGTCACTTGGAAAGTTTCTATGGGGAAGTTTCCATTCCTTTCTTAAAAATAAAACTTACATGATATAAGAATAAAAAGGAAAAAATAAAAACCAATCACTTATTTAAAAAACTATTTGATTGAAAGACAAATAAGATAGAGAGTTTTAAATATAAAGAGCTCAAGTTCAACTATTACCTGGAATATGATAATTGGAATTAGGCTTTAATGCTCCACCACGAGCATAACCATAGAGGCACACAGCTCTATTACAATTAGGATCCTTTGCTAAATTCTCAGGATTAGTTATATCCTCCATTCTATATATAAATAAATAATCCATTATATACCATTAGTGTGTAAAACAGTATAAAATTTAAGGAATTAACAAAATAAACAACACAACAGTTATTTATTATGAGAAGTAGGCTTTTGATCAATTTGTTAAAACATTAATCCATTAACAACTTGTCAAAATCACTGGCCCATAAAACTAGCTCAATTAAAAAGTACTGAAATGACCTAAGTATTGGTAACTTCCTTTTCCCTCCAATATTTCCTGACATTAGTTGATAGTTACACTTCTGTTTGAAAATACTTGTATCTCCTTTGATAATAACAGTTTATGTGGCATATTAAACAGAAGCCTTAAGATTTAAAAAAATGCCTCTAAATACAACTAGTTGACTGTAATTAAAAAGACAAAATATTAAAACAGCTAGTGTAACTTTATACAAGGCATCACATAAAGAAAATATTAAATGAAGAACAAATTTTAAGATGGCGAATCATTTAAAATACAATCAATTACAATATATTGAAACTAAAAAAGTCATTAATGAGAAACATCTGTTAAGAGATGTGGATAGTTCAGCATTCAATGCAAGACAATTCAAGCATTTATTACAGTTATATTCAAGACAGAAAAACTATACTCTGCTTATTAGTTATTCTGGCAATTTAATAATTTACTAATAGTATAATTTACAACTTAAAATCTGTAAAATATTTACACTGAGTTGAAAGTAAATTTGTTATATCACATTCTGTTAGAAAAAATCTCACGCAAGCAGGAGTGTAGAAGCAACATACACCAATTTCAAAAAAAGGTTGATAAATCTTTTTTCTAAAATGCGTATTAAACTATAAACTTGTCCAGAGTTCATCAAGTTATAGAAATTCAGATATTAAAAGCTGTAAAGATTTCTGGTTTTATAAGCCAGAAATATCAAACTTTTTTGTAGGACTACATACATGCATTGATAAATTGCATACGCCTTTTCGCTGATTAATAAGAATTTCATAAAGACTTACCGATCTACAAACACATATGGATGTGTTTTCTTCCATGTAGATGGCTCAAACTTCATTACAGAAATGAAACGACCCAAGTTATGAACTTCATTTTTTAAATATTCTCCATACATTTGGCCTGATAGGTAGAACATCTTCTCACCCTATAAAGATTTTTTTAATCAACAAAGATATTTAAAAAGGAATGTAGGATAAGAAATTACAACCAACGATCTGATTAAGAGAAGTTTAGGTCAGTTAGTGGATCCTTTATTAAAGTTATTTAATCCTGTCTTGTCTTTCACAAATTATTTCATTTAAAAAATTTATCTTTCCAAATACAGTTTGGGGAGTATATCAAAGGACTGGCCCTCCAAGTTGGGCAAAGGGTTAATACCTCTATCCTGTAAAAATTTCTTGTGAAATCTCTTGAAGAAAAAATTAAGAATGAGTTAAATACAATATATTTTAATTACAAAGCAAACCACTTATCACAGCACTCTACAGAAAGAGTCAATACTGCCTTTTACACAAGAAATCTATGATACATGAATTTATTCAACTCTTTGTAAAGAAATTTACAAATATTATAAATGCATACTCCAATTTACACATGAGGATGAAATATTTACTTCAAAATCTCTATAATGAAAGGTACTCATAATTTCACATCTTTTTTACCATAGAGTTAACCAAGACTACCGAGAATAAGAATAGTTGATCCCGGCACCCTTTTTTTCTTTTTTATTTTTTTTTATTCATAGAGATTTTAAGATTATGTAGATTAAGAGCATGTATATTGAGCAGTAAAAATAGATATATAAATAGATAAAGAAATAGGCTTGAATCATTTCCTGAAGACTTCTGCTATTCAGAGTTTTATTTTCAATGAAAAAATGCTTCTTGGAAAAGTGCAAAATATTTAACATCTATTTTGGAGTAATTTTCTTTGGAGGAATTTAAAATAATATTATGTCTATGGAATAGCAAATGGGAATTTATATAGCAATCATAATAATGTAAGGTTTGCAGTAGTGGGTGTTGTACTAAGCATTAATAGTATTATAAATTTTAAAAACGGATCCCTCATTAAGTTCTTCTATTTAAAATTAAAGCTGATGATGTTATATATTGGCGTTTTACTTGGAGTAAGGGAAAAGATGGTTTACTCATAACTTAATTTAAAGATAAAAGTCTTTTCCAAATTAATTTCAAAATCACAAGAGCAGGATCCTGACTGAAAGAACAGATTTAATGCTACTCTTCTTAAATTCAAAAAATTATGAGTAGACAAATCACAAAAAGTTTGTCAAGGCCCTGCATATAATCATGCTGAATCTAATAAATATAAACATGAGGATAATAAACAAAAGTAAATTGATGATTACAAGGAGTAATTTAAAACACATTAAAAAATAAACAGAGATATCGAAATAATTGCAAGAATAAATATAATTTTAGATAAATTTAAAATATTCTCATCGAAAATTTAATTGTCTCTACTACAGTTTACACATTAGGTTTATAGTTTGGGTTATTCACTAAGCTCCTAAAGCACAGTGTAATAAAACATGTGGAGGAACAGACTTAAAATAATTATTTCAAGATTATGGAAAATCAAGGAGTTTTGAATGGAGTTATTTTATTCTAAATAAAGTCAATCGGTTATTTACTTTTATCAAAATTGTTGACACCAAATGAATGAAAAAAATTCATAAAACTTAAGATTTACTACTTAATTACAAAAATATCAATGCACTCAGAAGAATATAAAAGTTCATAAAGATAGATTTACATAAAAAAATTTACTATATACATTTATCAGCTTATTTGAAGAAGTTGCTGTAAGTTTTTAAATACATTTTAAAGTAGTTTCAGAATTGTGTGAGCAATACCAGTTGACTATCAAAATCAACCATTAGAAAGTTCAGATATCAACAAATATTGTATTAAATACTTATATACTTCCAAAAGTTATAAACTAATTATAAGCACAAAAACTAAATGAATAAAAGAATTATATTTACTAATCAAAATATCTCTAAAACATACCCTTGGAATCTCGGTGCGATATCTCTTTTTTAGCATAGTTTTGGTCCTTTGTAACGTTTTTTTCTGCTTGAAGAGGTCCAAATGTGTCAATACACCCATTAAGCGAGGCATTCCATGAATTTGACAAATATTCAAGAACTCAAAAGTCTCCATTTCAAAGCCAGATTTAGCATCTATTAATAGTAACACCTAAAAACAAAATCCACATATATGACTTTTGTTGCACAACCATTTTTGTACAATGTGTCACAAAAATTAACAAGAAATAGCCATTTTGAAGGTCAGTATTAACAAAATGGTGTAAACATAGAAATATGGGTACTTAAATTTTATTTCAAATCAATATGCATGGCTTATACACACGGAACTTTCTTTACTCAAATGAATAAGAATAAGTAAAAACATTTAAAATAAATAAATATATATATATTTAAAAAATTATAACAAATGATTTAGCAATACAAAAAAGAAAAGATAATGAAAATTTCAATTTACTACTAATATGATCTCCAACCAAAACAAAATCTGATATTAAAATCACTAATAGAGTATCATATTATAAAGATAACCGACATTGAAATCTTGAAATTATTTTTTTATTTTTTTTTGTATCATTTTGTTTTAAAAAGATTCTTTTTCATCTTTTTTTTTCATAAATTACTTGTAAAGAATTATGTTTCATTGCAAACACAAAGCTTATTGTTTTAAACAAAATTTGCAAATCAAAATGGGAAAAACTTTAACAAAAGGCATGAATTAGATATAGAGGTATTGAAAAATAGATGCATCATCACCATATATTTTATTCTAAAGAAATAAAATATACTAAAAACTAAATGAATTCATTCAAAACAATGACAAAAATTCATATTTAATTGAAATATTTAAATAAAAAGGATTTTCAATAAGTATATGTAAACAATCAAAGAATAAATTCTCAAATTTAATTCCATTTTATTTCCAGCAAAAATATAACCTATGATCAAAGTTATAAGTTAAATAATTTGATAGTCAAAATGTATACAAATTGTCAAAATGCATGCAAACATTAAACCAGGCTTACCAGATCAGCTATTTTAGCAATGTCAATCATATTATTAATGTCATTATTGCATTCAATGAATGTAATTCTTTTCTTTTTGCCTAAAAAGAAAATAAAAAATATTGTTTATTATTATGGAATAATAGTAAAAAATATATTAAATTAGTATTATCATAAAACCAAACTTATCTTAAATGATAAGTCATGACGTGTACAAAATTTTGTCATCAAAACCTTTCTATTTTCTTAACATATAAAAATTAAACAAAAGCAGTACAGCAATATAAGAATTCAAAAAAATATTTGTTAGTACTTCATAAAATCTATGCATTTTTTCATTATAAGATACAACATTTAAATATATATATATAGTGCCCACCTGTTTAAATAATGACTGGTCGATAAACTGACTACCGAATTTCCAAAATAGGAATCTTTTATATAGGATACCATAAAAATACTATCCTTGATTATCACAAGCGAGACTGAGACCATTGGATAATGTAAGGGTTCTCGTTTTCCCACATCATTGCGCCAAAATCTTTAATTTGGTGACAAAATGAACAATTAAATTTGCCAAATTGTGAGAGATGAAAAAGAATTTTTCTAATACTAAAAGAATTTAAACCGGACTGTTGTTTTTATTACAAAAAATGATTTGAAATAGTATGTCACACGTTGCAATTTAGATATCGAATGTCTATAAAAATATAAATAATATATTGATTTGTGTGAGCGTTCCAGATTTTGCATTGCACAATTTCCACCCAAGAAGCCATTCAAGAACACTGCATTATGAAAGTCAAACAACTCTGTCCTTCATTGAAAATCAATAGAAGCACGAAAGAGTATTTGGGTAGGATGGCCAGATATTTTACAACATCAATAGTTTCACCATTTTTTCTTTTAAAAAAATGCTTGTTCTTAGGGATTGAATAAAAATAATATTCTCTTTTCCTCACTCACTTTAACCACTTATTTCTCTTCATTCTTTTAGAGTAATGAAGCTCGAGATTTGTTGAAGGAGTCGGGTGTATGTCTACAAAGGTGGTATTTTTCTTCGAATTAAAAATGTGCTTAATTTGTTAAGTTCTTTAGTAAACAGTCTTCTTTCACTATAAACCTAGTGGGCTTTTTATTTTAAATATTCAAAAATAAATCATTTTAATCAAAGATTAATTATTTTAATTCTGCCCATAAATTAATCATCAAAATATAAAATAACCAATAACCATGATGCGCTTTCTCAGATTTAAAATATTAACCATTCTTTATTTAAAACATTAGGTAATAGTCTATTTCCTATGCTAATTATCTTTGAATCATGCCTAAGTACAAAGATTTTGTAATGCTAAACTTTCCCTCACGATTGATATCAAAAACTTTATACAAGTCTATATTTAACATAAAATATTAAATGTAACTACTTTTTATTAAAAGAAAGAAAGTATTTTCATAATATTTTAACACATTTCATGAAAGAGTAAATTTATATAACTTTATAAGCAACATACCTGATATTAATGTTACAGGCCCATTTATAGAAGTTAATTTCTGTCGAGTAAAGTTCTTAACTAAACATTTTAAAAGAGTTGTTTTGCCAACTTTAGGAGGACCAACAATTGCCACAACAGCAGGAGGTGGTTTGGCAGGAGTTTTGTCAACAGCAGGAACATGATAACCTTTACTCTTTATATCCATTGTTCTAGAATAAATATCACAATACATAACTTTTCTCAAGTAACAGGAATATAAAAAAAAGATATTTTTTACCACATTAATATTCTGTCTAAATATTCAACAGAGAAAAAATAAATGAACATCCATTATAAATGTAACATAGATAATAAAAATAATATAAATAAATAAATATTTATAAACATAATAATGCTGTGATGCAAAAGTTTCCTAAGTTTTTTTGCAAAGGTGTTGGTGAGTTTTTAAGAGAAATAGTTTAATGGTAAACTGTTCTAATACTTCTATTCATTAAGTAATGCTTAGGAGATATGTCTTTTAAAAAAATAAAATTATTTGGCTGGAAAAAGATATCAGCCAAAGACAATCGACAAACTTTCAGCTAAAAAGCTCTTTATTTTTGTGGAATCTTAAGCAATTCATCAAAAAATCTTCACATGCTGACTGGGAAGTCCAAAGTTAAAGAGTGATGCAAAATTTTGAAAATAAAGAAAAATCTTAAAGCATTATTGAGAAAAGAGTCTGAAATAGATAAAATAATGCCAAAGAGCAATAAGTGAATACAAATTATATTTTCTTATGAAAAGAAATTAAACCTCAAGGATCCTGTTTTGTTACAAATATTATTAGTACAATCCAAGTAAAGAACCAAAATAATGCTCCAGTCAACAAATGAGACACTGTCTTTGCACAACTTAATGTGATTAAAGTACATAAATATTCTAGCTTATAACCTATGTGACTCAACGTTTTCAGTATCCATCATAAAAGTGATTGCACAACTAACTAACAGCAACACAATAAAAAACAATTTTCAATATTTACATAAATTGTTAAAAACAATTTGAATTAATTCAAAAATAAAACTCAGATATATATCACAACTAAAAACTATAGCTAAATACAGTAGATCTTTATAATGCAAACCTTAAAATCTGAAACCTTGTTTCACAGAATTTTGTATTACATAGTCATTTAATATAAACCAATATTAAAATGCTTTACAAAAAAATTTTAGAAACAAATATTTAAAGACAGAAATAGATACACTACTTAAACAAATAATGGATAAACTCATCAGTTTCAATTTGCTTAGATTTTTACATTCTAATATCATAGTAAATACTACAACAAATAATGCAAAAAGTTAATAGTCTTATAAAGAGACAGAATCGAGGATTATATGTGTTATCAAGATCTCCTACTGTGCTATTGAGAAAGTATTTTTAAATATTACTTTTAAAAAATATTAGTAAACAATAATCAACAATTTACACCACTTACATAAAAACAAAAATGCAAAATTAAAAACAATTAGATATGCTTAAATATATTCATTTCAACATAATGACCAGGGGTATGTCTAGGTTTTTATGAGAGGTACCTATTTTGTGAAAATTTAGACATAATTTGTGGAAAATAAAAAATCAACACAAAAATAGGGATAAGTAAGAAGATATTTTTAAAAATTGTCACTACAAATATAAATCATTTATGACTGGTAAAATTTTATAGATTTTTCCCCATATATTCAAAAATAACTTTGCTATTGTAAAATTTTGGGCTTAAAATTGTATCTTAATTTAAAAATCCATAAAAATCATTGTTCATTGTTAAATTTCAACTTGAATTTTAAAAAAACATGCACTTAACAATACTTGCACTATAAGTTATTTTCATTATGACAATATTTCCTGCGGGGTCATATAGAAAGAAGTTTCACAGAGAAAAAAAATTTTAATAAAAAAAGTTAGAATAAATTTAGAGCAATGTACGAATGTTTAGAATAATGTTCGAATTTCAACTTCTTGCAAAGTTTCCAGAGGGAGCGATTCATCGCTTAATTTTAAAAAAACTCTGCTACAAAAAAATCTCGCGATAATATGGCATAAGCGACCGGTTAGGCTACCATACCACACTATCTGACCAAACACGTGCTACCTATTCGTATATGCTTAATTAATCATTAATCCAGGATTTATCGTTTCTTACTGGGAAACAAAAACTTATTTAAGAGGCAGGGAGGAGTCTTATAATTTCCTTTTTTAAAAGCATTTTGTGAAACTACCGTTTTCCTAAAGTTGAATTTGTGAAGGTACCACTATACTGTAGTAAATTTGCCCTAGACTTACTCCTGATTACAATATATGTATTGACTTCTTTATTTACAATACTGATAACACTATAAAACAGAATTTCTCCTCTATAAATTATTTTGCTTTATGTTTAGTAGGCTCATTTAAAAGATCATTAATTACTTACCTTCGAAATCTCCTTTCAGCCTTGGTAACATTATTAATTGCAAAGGCTTTAGGATTTCTATGTTGGTCCCCCAATAACTGTTTCTTCTTGGCCTCTTTCTTGTCAGCCTTGCGCCCACTGTGGGCCTTGCGATGAGGCTTTTTGGCATCAGCTTTCTCTGTATCAGCCATTGTATGCAGTCAATTTCAAACAACTATCTTTGTGAATAAAAAGTCTGGAAGTAAATTTGAAAATATCAGTCATACTTTTTAATTGAAACAGATAACAAATTATACAATGTACCAAAATATTAAAACAGTGTCGTTTTTGTTACAAAATAAAAATTTCGGAAAAAATTAAAGTTTTAAAAGTTAAACATAAAAGAAAAAAATGCTTGATGGTTAATATAACAAAAATGGGTGAAATATATTAATCGGAGGCCATTTTTAATTAGAACTTTTCAATGCCGCTGCAGAAAACATTAATAATGACTTAAAAGTTTGATTTCCCAATAAATAAGAAACAGGCATGTGAAAGATTTTACAATAAAAGCTGCATGAGACGTGGTGGCTCAGGGAATAGAGCGCTCTGGTGATCTGGGTTTGATTCTCAGTGATGACTAGTAGAAACAAATTCCACACACTGACCACAATACTGATATAAAATATCAGCAGTGGTCGGCGGATCGTGGGTTAGAGAATCCTTGCCATGAGGCTAACCATGGAAAGTTCTCTCAATGCGACGCAAATGCAGGCTAGTTCCATCAAAAAGTTCTCCACAAAGACAAATTTCTCCATATACTTGATCCAAGAGTTCCCTTGACTTCTGAAATGGGTTTAAAATTACAAGGCTACTAAGTTGAATATTGGTAGTCATAAACCCCTAAAAAAATTGGTCGACTATTCAACGATGGTTATAAAAGGTACAAATTACAGTGCCCATTCAAAGAAGCATCCAATTCTACACTCGAACCTAGAAAGTTGATTAAACTTAGCATAAATTCAAAAATTTAGTACTTAAAGATGCCACTCTATTTATTAAATCATTTTAACAATATTTTACAGCTAAAATTTCAGTAAAAATATGCCTGTGTCATAAAATTAGAATATATATCCATTTTTATGACATACAGTATAATAAAAGAATTCAGGAATACTGCAAGAGAAAATAATTAAAAAATTTGAATAGAAATCAAACAGGAAATATAACAAATAAATCTGAAAGTTATACCACAAAATCCCTTTAAAAAATTTTTAAAATTATAACAGAACGTAACAATTTAACCAATAATTTACTTTAGAGAAAGAAAACTACAGTATATAACATAAATATAATTTCAGTTTTACCTCTGAAAACGCTTAAATTTCACAAGACATATTTTAATTTAGGCAAGCACGAAACAATTTTGAAGGAATTACACGTGAAAATTATACATAAACAAATTATCGAGAATATAAATAATCTTAATTCGGTCGCAGGTAACTCAAAAGATAGAATTAACTGAGTTGTCAAGATTTATCCTGTTTCGGAAAATAAAGTAACGCTTTTGCCTAACTTATTTTTCGAAGGCACTGTTCACACTTTATACAATTCACGTCAATTCGCGCTCCCAGCGTCAAAAAAAAAAAAGGTAGAATCTGATTGGTGAGTTTTCCGCAAGAGAAAATATTTCACCAATTAGGTTTTTCTTTCTCCCTTGATGGTGATCAAAAATGCGTCAATCGTAAGCAGTGAAAATGGCTTTTTCTTCTTTTTTTTTTCTCTTTTTGAGAGCAATGTGTATTACTCGTTTGGATGGTGTTTTCAACATCAATGTAAACAATAACAATCTCGAGCTCAATACCTGTTCCGGTTAGAAAGTTTGCAACTGCTTACTACAGCTTATTCCGTGAGGCGATATTTCAAACGTATAATTTTGTTTTTAATAAAAGAAGTAAATTAGTTAATTTCTAAACTCAAATCTGCCTTTTTTCATAAGATATTAATGTTATTAAGTAATTCTGGTGAGTTTGAAGTGAAAATTTGCTTTAGTTATTTATAGATATATTGTTAAAAAAGGTGACATATGGTTGCTAGATTTTGAATAACTCGCTTTTTTGGCAGTTCTGATTTGGCCTTGTTGCAAGCTGTGCACCATCTTACGTTAGTGTTAGCACCTTTAGCATGGTAAACACAAGTATTGTCAGCATTGTAAACACAAGTAATAAATAATCAAGTTTGCAAGAATCTCGAATCACAATTGATCACGTTGCAATACAAATGGCTTCAAAAAATACACCGGAAACAGTAACCCGGAAGTATAGGCGGTATGGAGCTTGCAGCATTCCCTAGTGTAGAAAACACCACAAACAATAATGTAAGAGTAAGAAATATGGCTTTTGCTCATAAAAAATTCTTGTAACGAAGTATGTTTGAGTCCGATAACTTAAATGCACTTATTTTTAAAGATATTAATTTTTTAATTAGTACACGAATAAATATTTTGAAAACAAAAAATGACCCCAAAAACTACTAAAATGCTGAATCCGTTGTGATTCAATCAAACTTCTTCATGAAATTCGTACAGAAATTTAAAATTGTGTTCGTTAATTGTACGGAATTACGCCAAGAAGTGAATACATTTTGGTATCGATTAAAATACTGAATAAAAATGCTTTATTTATTTATTTATCTTCTTTTCTGCTTTAAATAAGCCATAAAAAGGTATTAAAAAAACTAGCATATTAATTGTATAATTTCAAGTAGTATTTAAAAAAACATTCTTTCTATTTTCGTCAAATTTTAATGCAATGCGTGACCAGAAACCTTTTACGAATTTCATCTAATTATCTATTTATTTTATGCGAAATTTCACTGCACTTTAGCATTTTGAAAAGAAATATTTTGATTTTTCAGACCACCGTATTGAGTAGGAAAATAGAAGATTAAATAAGGCTTTCACTATTTATTTTATATGCTTGTTACTTTTAAACAACATATTTGAAAAGATTTAATTTTTCAAAAACGGCAATCATTTTCATCATTTATTCTTTTTTAATTTTGTCTCTGATGGTAATCCTTTCTCTGTCTCAATAGCAAAAACTTAGCGTGTTTCTATGCTAAGCAAATTGTGCTATTTTTTTCTAAATTCCTAAAACTGAAATGCAAGGAGAGAGCAAAAGATATTTTCTTAGTTATAAAAAATATCATTTAACAAACATTAGTAATTTTAATTGCTAGCAAAATGCCTCAATAAACGAAAAATCACGCCCTTTAACAGGATGCAGGGTGGAAGGCACTGAAAAGTAATATGTTACCGATGATAAGTTACTCTAATATGTTACTCTATCCTGGAAAAAGATATGTTTCTATGATTAACCTGCCTTATTCGTTGTTGGGCAGTATAATGTTTAAAACCCCGAAGAGGAAAAGAGAGAATTGTTAGTTAAAAACAGTTGCTTTTTATCCAATGAGAGATATTTTTTTGCTATGAATATTTTAAAAAAAATGTTGGCTAAAGAAATTCAAAGAAAAGATAACATAATAAGAATCGAGAAACATCCAATGAATCCGGAAAGTAATGTCTGTGTAAGTTGGAGAGAAAAACTGACTGGGAAAACTATTTTCTGGTTGATTTTTTTTTAAAAATAAATCCTTCAAAATGATTATTATTAATTTAAATGATATATAGAAATTTTGAAAATCGACTTTAAAGTATTGGAATAATCAAAATAAAGTCAAAAAAGTGCTTTCGTTTTTGTTTACAATTTCAAAATCGCTATTCTTACATTAGCGGTTATAACTTTGAGTTCGAACATAATTTTTTTCCGCATTGAAACAACGGGTAGGATAAAATCGTAGGGTATATAATTTATGCAGAAATATTTTTAAAATTAAGCCACATGGATTAGTATTTATTTTAAAAATTATGCGGGCAAATGGCGCATGATATAGAAAATAATTAAAGCAGAAAAAAAACTCAATTCGAAAAAAAATTGATTTTCTTTATTGTTTCTAATGCAATGCTATGATACTTTACATCCTTATTCAACATCGCAGTGCTTATGGAAGAAAATTAAAGTGAAGTTAGTCCAGATGCTTAACATTCCTTCAAAACTTTGCCTTTGTTCCGTAAAAACAGATAAAAGTTCACTGGCCTCCCAATAACCATCGATGCATTCTTCCTTCAAAACCTGCATGCAGAGATGGGGGTAATCCTCAGTCATCATTTTAGTGACAAAGCAGCAACCGCTCGAAACTTGGGATAGTCTGGGAGGTTGAGGATAGTTCTCCAGAACTTCTACCTCGATATTTTCTTGAGATCCAATTGACGTAAATATCTTAAAGCATATCTAGTTTTTTGAAGTAACTGATCCATGCAAACTTTTTCACAAACTTATCTTATAGGGGCTCTTCTCTATTATGAACCGTTTCTTCCTGTGCTTCTAAATAGGTCAAAATAGGAAACACCTTGCCGTACAAGGACATTTCCGGGCATGGGCTCCTAAGCAATTTTAATCCTGATGATATGCCTTAATTACACTAGAAATTTGTCGCAATATTTGCGCGACACCTTGTTATGCCTAACGATTTACAACTTGTACGCGCCATCAAAAAATAATCTAAAAATATCTTTAAAGAACTAAAAAAAAAAAAAAAAANAAAAAACTTTAGCTTTAGGAAGAAAACTAATTTCAGATTTGAAATCCCCACACCCGAATTAAAAAAGATCAAGCATTTGTATAAATACTACAAAAAATCGTTCCCCGGTGTTGGTAATTTAATACTTTTCAAGTATAATAATGCAATTTTAATATTGTTTTTGAATTTTTTTGGTATGTTTTTAAAAGAAAATAATTGTCAAACAATTTTATTTTCGGGAAAAAGAAATAAAAAATTGATGAGCTGAGGGAATAAAGAGTATCAGGGACATCTTTGAAAAAATTGTAATTCATCGGAGTAAGCTCTTATCAAAGATTTATTTAACAACAGAACATTAATTTATTTTACTAAGTGTTTTAATTTCGAAGATTACAGTGGATGAAAGGTACAAATGAATATTTCTGACTGTTTTTGGAGTGAAAGAATGATCCAAGTCTACTTGGCAACATATAGTCAATGAATAACCCTAGAAGACCTCTCACTTGGCTTTATACAAAGAGACAGAAAGAGGGAAGTACAAAAGGCGGAAAGTTTGAAGCAGCGTTAAAACTAAATTACGAAATGATACAAAAAAAAGTTTAGTTTTAAATTAAACTTTTCTTTTCTTCTGATTAATATTTTTAACCTTATAATGGCAGGGGATTCATCAGCAATCTCTTAAGCGCTACCGCAAAAATATCTTGAGTGTTAAATCTAGAATGTCTGGTGAACATCTCAACAATATTTGTTGAAAATAATGGACATTTTTTGTCAAAAATCGGCATGCTTTTATATTGACGTTAAGATGCTATTTCCGTTCTAAACCAGAATGTTTCCCGCAAATATCACATTCTTGATACGATATATACACTGGTTGAGACAGGTTGAATTTAATTGTAATCGGGCTAACCATGAAACGTTTCCGCCATTTTCTTTTCTGGATCGTTAGTTTCCTTTTAAATATTCTTCAATGCTAAGCATCATCATCAAAACTTCTCTTGGCATCTGAGACAGTTGGAACGTTGGAAAAAACGCGAAACTCAGTACCCTGTCGCAAAGTGGCATTAACTGATTCGTCGACTTTGAATTAATGGATACTAGGTTGATGTAATGAGGAAATATATTAGAATAGAATAGGGGGTGCCTGGACCAAGTAAGTTCAAAATCCTATGGTGTGATCTATAGTCGTGAAGTAATTGAAACATAAGATAACACGATGATTACAGCAAATTGGAATTTGAAGAAAATTAAATATTTTGCATTCTAAATAAAGCGATAAAGATAAGTCCCTACAAATATAAGCTGCCATTAGCCTGATGTTTATGTCGTGTCTCAAGTTTTCAAAAGCTAAATTTCATTAAATCCTGCGGCATCAGAATTTGTGGCTTTTTCAAAAAATTTGCAATTTAGTTTTGCAATATGATGATCTAAAAAATCAATGTTGAGATCGTGAAGTATGTTCTTGTTTCGGATAAGCCTTCTTGCTCGCGTTATTTTTCGAAATATTTCGCTCCGGCATCTTTTGAGTTCTTCTAGGAGTGATGAAGAGATGTTAAGCCAGGCTATCGGTGGATAGTAGTAAAAAGTGGTATTTATGAGAAAAACACTTATTAAAAAAACGTGATAGTACATACTTTATCTGGATATACCGTTCTGTTAACTACTACTTTACCTAAGGCCAGGATAGCCAGGTTGGTAGAACATTGGGGTCGTGTTTATAAGAACGTGAGTTCGAATCCCATCAGTCGAAGAATCCCAGTGTATTAAATGATGACTGATGCACTTTAAATCTGTTGGAGTCACGAAGTCTACAATCCCATAACAAATCAATACCTCTGGGGGTCCTGAATGGGAGATTGATCGTTCTCTGTTTCAGA